TGGGATCAAACCCCGAGTCCGGCTCTATGCTCACTGCGAAGTCTGCTTCAGATTCTTACTCTCTCTCTCTCTCTCAAATGAATAAATAAAATCTTAAAAAAACAAAATAAAGGGAAAAAGTGAGGAGGTATGAGGACGGACGGAGTTCTCCCTTTTTTGGTGACTATACCTGGTTGTAAGTAGCCCATTGGTCAGTTGGAGTCTGTGGATATTTGAGACCTGATGGGCCTGTCTGGATTCAGCCAGGGGGTCGCTGGGGCCCCTTTCTACATTCCATCACTCAAGACTGCTTGCCTAAAAGTGGCCTCTACATCCCCTCTGCGTGCCCCCCCCGCCCCCCGCCTGGCAGATCGACAATGACAAATCTCAGGCATTTGGACATAGGTCTGGCCTTTGGGCGAGTGAGGGGCACAGAGATGTCCCCTCCTAAACCTGTTGGTCTGGCAGTTACAGACCAGAGCATGGTATTAGATTAACGGGCTAATATGTGATTTGAGTGCAAGTCCTTGGTGGTCACGGCCATGGGGCTTGGGGGAGGAGACCCTCCTTTGGAATGGGCTAGAATCCCTTTTGAGCCATCATGCCCAGATGGAATTGTTGGATTCACTCAAATGCGTAGGAACGTGTTTGCCCATAGATCGATGTGGAGACTCTGATCTAAGAGGTCTGAGACAGAACCCCAGAATCTCCGTGGAAAACACCTCCTGCTGGAGTCTGATGCAGGGGCCTGGGCCTCCTAAGGCCCTTCCCTGTGCCATTGGTCTGCCTTCAGAAGCAGTGGGCGAAATAATGGCAATGAGGCATGACAATAAAAACCTCTGTCGTCTGCGCTGAATCACTCATGAGGTACTCCCCATCTGCTGCTTCTTGTAGTCTTCATCTGTTTTAACTACTGTCTTGGGAGGGATCATCGTCCCCAATTCTCCAGACCCCTGAGGCTCACAGACAAAGGGTGACTTGCCCGAGACCCCCAGCTACAAAACAGCAGAGCTCAGAAAGGAGCCGAGGCCATCCTGCAGCCGTCTATGATAAAGCCTCTGGGTTTGGAGGTTGCTCTTTGTTGAAAACCAAAATTCCAAAATCCAGGACCCGCACTTAGTGTGGTGATTCCAGCCCCATGGAGGAAGCTCAGGTCATGGTTCAAGTTCAGACCCTTATCGTCCCTTCTCTCTGTCCATCCATGTCCTCTCCTCCAGGGCCCAGAAAATGACCCGTCTCATACAAAGCCACACCATTTCTAGGGCATTTTCACCCACAGCTGGGGACTGTGCAGGGCTCTGTGGGAGATGCAGTCAACCTCCCTTGACTGCATTTCGTAAATGCTGTGGTTTGTTTTGTTTTGTTTTGTTTTTACAAATTGACGGTCTGTGGTATTAAGCAAGGCTATTGGTGCTATTTTTCCAACAGCATTTGCTCATTTTGCGTCTCAGTCACATTTTGGTCGCTCTCATGATAGTCCCAAATTTTTGATGGTTATATTTGTTACCATGATCTGTGATTAATGGTTAGGACTTGATGAAAGCCCAGATAATGGTTAGCATTTTTTTTTTTAGTGATAAAATCTTTTTAAATTAAGGTATATACATTGCTTTTTGGGATGCATGCTCTTGCAGACTTAATAGACTACAATACAGTGTAAACATAACTTTTCTCTGCAGTAGGAAATCAGCATGGTCACTTGACCTGTTTTATTGCCTTATTGCAATGTTGGCTTTAATGCGCTGGTCTGGAACCGAACCTACGATGTCTCCGAGGTGCCAGTACAGAGAAGAGCCAGATCTGTCCCCAGGGGCTTTCTGGCTGGGAACACAAGAAGTGCTTACTTTGTTGTTGTTGTTGTTGTTTTTAAGATTATTTATTTATTTATTTGACAGAGAGAGAGAGATCACAAGTAGGCAGAGAGGCAGGCAGAGGGAGAGAGCAGAGGAAGCAGGCTCCCTGCTGAGCAGAGAACCCGACATGGGGCTTGATTTCACGACCCTGAGACCAAGACCTGAGCCGAAGACAGAGGCTTAACCCACTGAACCACCCACGTGCCCGGGTTTGTTTGTTTGTTTGTTTTAAGATTTTATTTATTTATTTTGACAGGGAGATAGAGAGCACAAGTAGGAAAAGTGGCAGGCAGAGAGAGAGAGAGAAGCAGACTTTCCCCTGAGCAGAGAGCCCGATGTGGGACTCGATCCCAGGACCCTGGGATCATGACCTGAGCCGAAGGCTGATGCTTAACGGACTGAGCCACCCAGGTGCCCCTGTTTGTTTGTTTGTTTGTTTGTTTTAAGATTTTGTTTATTTATTTGAGGAAGGGGAATGGTCAGAGGAAGAAGCAGACAGAGCAGGAAGCCTGACATGGGGCTCAATTCCGGGACTCCAGGATCATGACCTGAGCCAAAGGCAGACGCTTAACCGACTGAGTCCCCCCAGGAGTCCCAGGAAGCGCTTACTTTGGTGATGGACCAAGTCACTTGAACTTTCTTTTCCCTCAAATTCATGGTCCCAGCCTCGCCCCCTTAATTGGCTGGAACACGTTTCCCTGCAGCATGGGCTGACTGATAAAGTTGTTCATAATATTTTCACACATAGGGGCACCTGGGTGGCTCAGTTGTTGGGCGGCTGCCTTCGGCTCAGGTCATGATTCCAGGGTCCTGGGATCGAGCCCCACATCGGGCTCTCTGCTCAGCAGAAAGCCTGCTTCTCCCTCTCCCACTCCCCATGCTTGTGCTCTCTCTCTCTCACTGTGTGTGTCACTATGTCAAATGAATAAATAAAATCTCTAAAAAAATATTTTCACACATAGTATTTTCCACTGATAAAGTGGTTCACACTAATAGGCATTCAAACGCAATCCAATTTTCTTTTTATTGTTTGTCACAGTGACACCACCCATTGGGGTGTTCCTGGGGTCCTCTGGAAGGTACCAGGGATGATAAAGTTGGTACAAAAAGGGAATTCAGGGAGAAGCAGTTTACAGTTTATTGAGATAGGAGTACTAAGCCCCAATTTTTTAAAAAAGATTTTATTTATTTATTTGACAGACAGAAATCACAAGTAGGCAGAGAGGCAGCCAGAGAGAGAGGAGGGGAGCAGGCCCCCCGCTGAGCAGAGAGCCCAATGTGGGGCTCGATCCCAGGACCCTAGGATCATGACCTGAGCTGAAGGCAGAGGCTTAACCCACTGAGCTACCCAGGCGCCCCTCTAAGCCCCAATTTTAAAGGAGAAAAAAACCTTCTCAGACAAAGTACAAGCATGTATAAGCTAAGCAACTCAGAATTGGCTCAGGGAAGCCCTGAACGGATTTCAGAAGGCCAGACATAATTCCAAATGAATGATCCAAATGAATGTTTCTGGAACTAAGTTAAAGTGGCAGGACTTGTGACCAGCAATTGTCTGGTAAGTCTACCTGGAAAAGGTGGGTCAGAATGGGGCCTGGAAGATGGGGAGGATGAGGCAGAAAAGAGGGGACCAGAGTGGGTGGGGAGTCAGGAGGCTGGAATGGTACATTTGCCATGAGAATTGTTTACAAAACACTCACACCTGGTTCTCCTCTTTGTCTTGACAGTCACAAGTACCTTTTGGGAGGATTATTTTTCCCTGGTCTAGGGATACCTGAGGCTCAGAGGCGGGCAGTGACTTGCCCAAGATCACCCAGTTATAAAAATGACAGAACATGGGCTTGGGCTCAGACTGTCATGGGGCGGAGAAGTCACAGTCCGTGTTAAAGTATCTAACTTTGGAGGCTGCCTTCTTCTTCTTCTTCTCCTTCTCCTTCTCCTTCTCCTTCTCCTTCTTCTTCTTCTTCTTCTTCTTTTTTAAGATTTATTTATTTGTTTGTTTATTTTGAGAGAGAGCACGCTCGCTCGAGCACGCACACACATGGGAGAGGGTGGGGCAGAGGGAGCGAGAGAATATCAAGCAGACCTCGTGCTGGGCACGGAGCCCTGGGGGGGGGGTTCCTTCCATGACCCTCAGATCGTGACCTGAGCGAAAATCAAGAATCAGATGCTTAACTGACTGAGATACGCAGGCTCCCCAGCTGCTGCATTTGAAACCTAAAATCCTGGCCCGAACAAGGCTTGGAAGTTCTAGCCTTAGTTCTGTGACCGACCCTCTATCCGTGAGACAGGGGGGAGTTGCTTCTCTGTGCCTCAGTTTCCTTACCTCCACAATGTGGCTGACCATCCTTGTTTTCCTCTCACAGGGTGGTGGTGAGCTTTGCAATCCTGTGAGTAACCCGAACTGCAGAGCAGCAGGTACATGGGAAGGTCGCTGCTACTGTGGCATTCTGTATATTTGCAGTGACCTTCCTAAAGAGGGTGTGGGGTGGGGATCCCATGGGATGGTGGGATGCACAGATAATCATCCTTCTGTGTCTCTCCTTCCTCTTCTGCCCCAGAAGGAAGCTGTGACCCTCCGTGGGGCCCCGGGGGGGGGTGCGCCTCAGGACTAAAGAAAGAGATGAGGTGTGGGGAGTCTTTCACCACATACCAGAGGAAGCATCTGGCTCAACGCTCTTAGTTTGCATATGGCGAAAGAGGGCACATAAAGGTAACTTGTCCAATCTGTCGTTAATAACAGAGCCGTTGAATACAAGTGTGCAAGCGTTAAAAGGGAGCTGCACTAGATGGCAGGAGTCTCAGGGTCGAGATCTAGATCTTATACCAACGGTGCGGGGCTCCGGACAAAATCCCTTCCCTTCTCTGGCACTTAGTTTCCTGGTCGCAGAACTGGGATTAGGCTCGAAGGGTCCTTCCAGCTCGGTGACTGTCATCAGAGATGCACCCTAGGCCGGGACGCAGAAAATGTGAAAGTGTTTGTATTCCACGGAACTTCGCCGGGAACCTCAGCGCCCAAGGATGCTTCCGTTGCCATGGCAACCGCCCTGCCGGCGTGGTCCCCGGAGTCCCGCGGAGGAAGCTGGGAAGAACCCTGCCCTTACCAAGATGGCGGCAGCCACAGGGAAGGGGGCGGGGTTAGGTTGTCAGCCTGTCCAGACCTTTCCTCTGTTTCCGCTTTTTCGTGCTAAAAGCTAGTTTCCGTCAATACTTGTTTTCTCTTCTGCTTCTGGGAGCAACGGGAGCCCGGGAGGAAGGGTTGTCTGCAGGGACTGGGGCGAGTACCCCGGTGGTGGGGAAGGCGGGACTTCCGTGTCTCACAGGAAGTGACGCGACAGTCGCGGCCGCAGACAGGTGGAAAGGCAGGTGGGTTCAGGTGCCAGCCTGGCCTGGACCCGCTGTGGGACCGACGCTTCCGGTGAGCGACAGAGGTATCTCCCAAAGGCCTGGAGACCCGTGGGGGCGGGCTCTGGGGTCTGAGCCCATCGTCCTGGCCTGGAATCCCTCCCTGTACCCAGTAAGATCCCCGTACCTTCCCGCCCCCTAGCCTCGGGGACTCTCCCCGCTCTCCAGAGGGAAGGGGGAAGGTCCGGCTCTCCCGGATCGTCGGGGCGGAGGTTGACACCTAGGCACTTCGGGTCCCCAAACCCTACACTCTTTTCTCTCCCTGATCCAGTTCCCCATTCCCCTGCCGAGCTGGGCGGTTCGCCAGCCCACCTCAACTCTCGGAACCATGTTCGCGGACTTGGATTATGACATCGAGGAAGATAAACTGTGAGTATTTTGTTCCCTGCAAGTCCCAGGAACGCACGAGCTCCAGGGCCTCCAGATCCCCAGACTTCCCAGTTCTACAGACCCTTGCTTCTCAGCGGGGGGATCAGGTCTTGTACTTGTAGCAATAACAGACCCTGCCCTTCCAGGAGCTCACCATCTGTAGCTGGGCTGTGGACACATTAGCAGATAACAGGTCAGGGCCACATGGGCACTAATGGAGAATGGCCTGGCTACAAGGAGAGGGCAGATAGAGCAGTGCCTCGACTAGGGTGTTCAGGAAAGGTTTCACAAAGGAGGTGGCAATTGAGCCAAGTTTTGAAGGTGACTAGGAATATTGTAAACCCACCTTCCTTCCCAGTGTAGACGATCAGTAGGGCAGATTTTCAAAAATTGTTAGTCTCCTTCCTAACATCTGTCCTCCATCGGTCCACTGCCCGTGTCCTCGGCACTTAGTATGGTGCTCCCCGTCAGAAGGCCGTTAGCAAATGTTTGTTGAATGAATAAGTGAACACAGGCAAATATCTACCACAGAACATAAATAAGTGCTGGTTTATAATGAAAACTGGGGGTTAATTGAACAGAGTAACTGAGAGATGGGTGATGGATAGTTTAACAGGAGAAGGCTTCCTGGAGAAGGTGGCCATAATGTTCCCCATGCGCCTGAGAAGGTGACGAGGACAGAGTCTGACTCAGGTCTCAGAGGTAGGAAGAAGGAGAGGGAAGGGGGACCTGTTCTCACGGAGTGCCTGCTCTGGGCTGGGTTGGTGTTAAGTGCCTTCCATGGGCTTTCGTAGGCTTTCATCAAGTAGCAAGCCATTTCTATCCATACCGCTGTCTTCTGGATGCGGGAACCGAGATGCACAGAGGTGACTGACTTACCCAAGTCCTGTAGATGGTTGTTGGCAGAGCTGGGATCTGATCCCGCATCCTCAGGACTCCCAAGAGCTGCACCCGTGCCAGCACAAGATGCTGTCTCTTTTGGCCAAAGGAGAAGAGAAAAAGCTGAGCAGCACGTGGAGCCTCTCGGGTTTTGAAGGGCCTGTTCCCTTCACTGTCCCCTCCAGTCGTCCTTCTGCCAGGAGCTTCAGCCTCACGTGCTTCTCTTTCCAGCGGGATCCCAACTGTGCCCGGGAAGGTGACCCTGCAGAAGGACGCCCAGAACCTGATCGGGATCAGCATTGGAGGAGGCGCTCAGTATTGCCCCTGCCTCTATATCGTCCAGGTAGTGGGTGCTTCGGAGGTGGGGGTGAGGTCCCGGAGAGGGGGGCCATCTCCCTGCTTGGGCAGCGTCGTTCTCCCCTCTGCAGAGCTGGTGCCTTTTTTTCTTCAGGTCTGACCCCCTCAGAGAGGCCTTCCCGAGTGCCCCCTCCGGAAGTGCCTCCTTGTTCGCCGTCACCTCACTGTGTTCCTTCCTTCTCAGCCCCTGTCACCCTCTGTAATCACGGGCTTGCCCATCCGTGATTCTGTATCTCGCCGCTTACCTGTCTCCGCTCTTGGAGGACAGGCTCTCAGTCTGCTTTTCTACTGCGTCAGCGCTGAGTACAATGCCTGGCATAGGGTCGAACCCACAAAACTCTTGGCCGAGGGCGCTGGGGCAAGTGGAGTGTCGTGGGAAATCTTCCAGTCTATGAAGTGATAATTGTCTGAATTCAGTGTAAGCCTCCCTGGTCAGGAGTGAGTTACCCAGCCTCTCTGGGCCTCAGCTCCCTCCCCTGGAAAATGAGGGTGTGAAATATTTGGTCACCGTGAGGATTAAACAGAACGCCCCAAGCAATGCCTGGCATTTAATAAACACCGAGTAGAAGATGCTGTTATTTTTCTGGCTGTTGTTCACTTCCCCAGACGGTGCAGAACAATTCTGTGGTTCTTGTAGAAGCTGCCCTGGTGACTTCCGGTCAGCTGTGACTCTGAGCCATGGGGACCGTTGACTTGGCGGCTGGTCGGAGTCCCTGGTTTTTTTGTAGGCTCAGAAGGAAGGTCTCCACCTCAGACATAAACTTGACCTGACTTCTACCCTGTTCTGACTTTCTCAGCTCAGTAGCCATTGGTGGCAGATGGGAAACTGCCATCTGTCCGAGGATCTTGCAAGAGTTGCTTCTGGGCCTCGAAGACAGAGATTCCCGGGCTGTGGTCCGGCCTCCTCTGGGTGCTGCCTTCACGAACAGTTTGGCCTCCTCTGATCCAGGGGGTGCTAGGGAGGCCTGGCCCTGGCCTGGCCCCTTTGCTTTGTGCCTGCTTGACTCCTGCCACCTCCCCCTCCTCACCTACTGGGGACCAGGTCTGCTTAGAACAACCCGTGATTATAAAATAATAGAATTTGGTCAAATAATAGCACTCCTTTTTTTTTTTTTTTAAGATTTATTTATTTTACACAGAGAGGGAGAGCTGGGGAGGGGCAGAGGGAGAGGGAGAGAGAGAATCCCAAGCAGACTCCCCACTGAGCACAGAGCCTGTTGTGGGGCTCAATCTTATGACCCTGAGAGCATGACCTGAGCTGAAACCAAGAGGCGGACGCTTAGCCTACTGAGCCACTCAGGCACCCCTGTTCCACCCCTTCTTACAACCCTCCCCACCCCTACCCCCATAGCAGTGCTGCTTTCTACGCTTAGAGCTGTTTCTTAGGTGTGAGCTTCCACTTTCCTCACTTAGATGCTTACCCTGTTATTTCTGGATCTGTCGCTTGTAAATATCTGTCATCTTCTCCCAGTCCGGTAGGTGGGAACCTTAGCTCTCTTCCAGAGCCTCCTTGCTCTCTCCCCCCACATCCTTCCAGCATGGTGATCGCACAGTTCAGGCTAACCCACGGTCTGCGTGTCAGCACCGCGGGCCAGGCTGTGCTGTGGGCACTAGGGGTGAGGCAGTGAGGGGAACAAGGAGCCCGTCCTCCCGAGCTGCTGGTGCTGTAGGAGGAGGATGACACCCTGGTCTGTGTCCTGAGCTTCACAATCGTCCGTGGTCATGCTTTTTTAAAAATTACTTTATTGTGAAATTCATATAACGTACAGTTAGTAGTTTTGCAGTTCAATGGCATTTGTGGTGCATTTGCTAAATTCAACCGTCACCCATCTCTAATTTCAGAACGTTTTCATCCCCCAGAACAGCCCGCGTCCTCTTAAGTGTTCACTCGTCACCCTCTCCCCTCCCCCGGCCGCCACCCCTCTGACTCTATGACCAGTGTCTGTGCTGGTTATTTCAGATCGGTCAGTAATCTGCTTATTATCTGGTTCTTTTGGATATTTTAATATAAACAGACTCTAACACGTCACCTTTGGCGTCTGGCTTCTTTCGCTTAGCATAATGTTTTTGAACTTCATTCAGGCGGCGGTATATTTGAGTAATTCATTCTTTCTACGGCTGATGAATATTCCTTTTTGTGGGTGCACCACAGTATGTTCATCCATTCCTTTGAGGGATGTCTGGGTTGCTCGCCCCTCTCAGCCGCTGTGATGATGCTGCTGTGAGCCGCACAGGCGCTTGCTGGGCGGACGCGCATGCTCGTGTGCACGGAGCATGTACCTGGGAGCAGGTGCACACACGAGTGGGACCGCTGGCTCCCACCGTGCCTCCGTGGTTAACTTTTTGAGGAACCTCTGTCTCTTTTCTTAACTCAATCTTTTCTTCTTTTTTAACGTCATTTCTTAGGGTTCTTCCATTTGTGTACATTGAGCACCTTTTCTCGGGCAGCTGCTTGCCACCATCTTTCTATTGCCGTGATGGCTGTAGTCTGTCCTCACTGGGCCTCCCCTTCCCTCTCCTCTGTGGGACTCCCCCACTTCCAGGAGTCCTCTTTCCCTCCTCCTTTTTTTTTTTTTTTTAAGTTTTCATTTTGATTCCAGCGACTTCATGTATGGTGTAATAATCAGTGTCAGGTGTATGACATAATGATTTAGCACCTGCACATGTCCCCTGGTGTTCATCACAAGTGCCCACCTTAATCTCCAGCACCTGTTTCCCCATCCCCCACCTGTCTCCCCTCTGGTGACCAGCAGTTTGTCCTCTCTAGTTTTGTTTATTTCTTTTTTAAGATTTATTTAATTGAGAGAGTGCATGTGCGCACACGGGTGTGCAGGGGGCAGTGACAGGGAGAGGGAGAAAGAGAATCTCAAGCAGGCTCCCTGCTGAGGGCAGAGCCTGACCGGGGGGCAGGGGGGCTTCATCTCAGAACCTTGAGATCATGACCTGACAAGAGTCAGACGCTTAACCAACTGAGCCGCCCAGATGCCCCTGTTGTTGATAGTTAAGAGTCTGTTTCTTGCTTTGTCTCTGTTTTTTTCCCCTTTGCTCATTTGTTTTGTTTCTTAAATTCCACGTTATGAGTAACATCATGTGGTCTTTGTGTGACAGACTACTTTTGCTCAGCATTATGCTGTCTAGATCCATCCATGTCTCTGCAAATCGCAAGGTTTTGTTCTTTTTTATGGCTGAGTAGTATTCCATTATATACACACACACCACATCTTTATGCATTCATTAGTCGTCGATGGACACTTGGGCTGCTTGTAAATAATGCTGCTGTAAACATAGGGGTCCACATATCCCTTTTTTAAAAAATTTTTAAGATTTTTTAGAAATTTATTTTACAGACAGAGATCACAAGTAGGCAGAGAGGTAGGTAGAGGGGTTGGGGCGGGGAGCAGGCTCTCTGCTGAGCATAGAACCTGATTCAGGGCTGGATCCCAGGACCCTGGGATCATGACCTGAGCCGAAGGCAAAGGCTTTAACCCGCTGAGCCGCCCAGGTGCCCCCACATATCCCTTTGAATTAGCATTTTTGTATGCTTTGTATTCTGAGTACCCGGTAATACGATCGCTGGGTCGTAGGGTAGCTCTATTTTTAATTTTTTGGGGAACCTCCATGCTGTTTTCCAGCACGGCTGCCCCAGTTTGCATTTCCACCAACAGTGTGAGAAGGTTCCATTTTCTCCACATCCTTCCCAACACTTGTTGTTTCTTGTGGCATTGACTTAGCCATTCTGACAGGTGTGAGATGGTATCTCAGTGTGGTTTTGATTTGCATTTCCCAGATGCTGAGTGATGTTGAACATCTTTTCATAGGTCTGTTGGCCCTCTAGATGTCTTCTTCAGAAAAATGTCCGTTCATGTCTTCTGCCAATTTTTTAATTGGATTATTGGTTTTTGACTGGTCTAAGTTCTTTACAGATCTGGGATACTAGCCCTTTATCGGCTGTGTCCTTTGCAAATATCTTCACTCATTCCGTAGGTTGCCTTTTAGCTTTGTTGACTGTTTCCTTTGCTGTGCAGGCCGGGAGCCCTCTTTCTCGGCTGACTTCCCCATCGAGGTGGAGTGCACCTCATGCAGCTTTCTTTCTTTTTTTTTTTTTTTTAAGATTTTTATTTATTTGACAGACAGAGATCACAAGTAGGCAGAGAGAGAGAGAGATTGGTGGAAGCAGGCTCCCCGCTGAGCAGAGAGCTCAATTCGGGGCTCAATCCCAGGACCCTGGGATCATGACCTGAGCTAAAGGCAGAGGCTTAACCCACTGAGCCACCCAGGCACTCCCTCCTGTAGCTTTCTGAGAGGCTGCATGGGAGGTACATTTTCTGAGAGCTTGTGTCTCTGAAGGTGCTGTTATCCTGTCTTTGTTGTTATTCTAGTCCTTCCACTTGACACTTGGACAGATCAAGAATGACTATCAAAAAAAAAAAAAAAAGAATGCCAAGTTTGAAAATAATTTTCACCTAGAAATTCAATGGCGTCCTTTCATTATCTGTGCTGTCAGCATTGTTGTTATGTCTGAGGCTGCTCTTCTTATGTGTGACCCTTTATCTGTAATTTCTTTTATCCTTGATCTCTCAAGACCCTTGGGAATTTCCTTGTGTCCCTGGCATTCTGAAGGGTCACGATGATGGTCTTTGGCACAGGTCTTTGTCTTGTGTTGGAGCCTAAGAGGGCGTGTCCCTCAGGGACTCTCGTGTTTCTCTCCCTGCTGGAAGTTTCTAGTGTTAGTTCTTTGAGGGGATCTTGCTCTCTGGTTTTTGTTCCCTCTCATGGGACTCCTGTTGATTAGTGCCAGGCTTCCTGAAGTGGTCTTCTAATATTTTTCTTTCTCTTTTTTTCTGATTGCCCATGTCTTTTTCACTTTCCTCTGCTTGGCTGCCTAATTTCTTTGACATTGTAAATTTCAGTTATAATTTGCATTTCTAAGATTTTTCCCTTTTTTATTTTTTTAAAGATTTTATTTGTTTATTTGAGAGAGGAAGAGCGTGCAAGCACGAGTGAGGGGAGGGGCAGAGGGTGAGGGAGGAGCGGACTCCCCACTGAGCAAGGAGCTCGATCCCAGGACCCCCAGATCATGACCTGAGCTGAAATCAGGTACTTAATGGAGTGAGCCAGGCAGGTGCCCACCTATTTTTGAATTGATCCTTTTATATCATCCTGTTCTTTTTCTGATCACTTTGAAGACATTAATTGTGCTTTTCTTTCTGTTTTTATATCGCCCCTACTTTGTTTCTGCTTCCTGTGGTTCCTTTTCTCTGTGTAAGTGTTTCTCATATGGGACCTTTTCCCAAGTGCCTGGTAATCCTCACCTGTCTTTCCGGGGCAAGTGAGCCATCGCCGCCATGTGCTAAGTAGTTGAGGATCTGTGTGCGGGCTGTGTCTGGAGGGCTTCCCTGTGGGGCGGTCAGGCATCAGGGGAGCTGTGGGGGGAACCTCCCAGTGTCTACATAGACGGGTCTTTGCCGTGGAGCTGTTCGGGGCAGCGGCCTCCAGTCTCCCGTGGGGAAGGGCAGTAGGCCTGGCTGCTGGCATTCTGGGTCCCTACTGGGGGTAGGGGCTGGGGACTTGCTAAACCCAAATCCTTCTAGTCTGGTGCCTCTGTCCTGCCTCCCTCGGTCCCTGGGCCTTGGAAAGGGGAAACCCTGGGGAAACCACCTCCATCTTCCGTGGAGAAGGGGTGGTGATGGAAGACTGTGGATGGGGAGGGAACCCAGAGTTGAGTCCTTTCCTTACTTCCTACACCTTGCCTTCCGCCCACCTGTGGCTGTTTCTAGAGGTCCACTTCCTGACACACTGGCAGTTTCCAGTGAAGACTAGATCTTTCTTCCTAAAGCCCCTCCGTAGGCCTTTGGATTCCTGCTGTCCATCTTCCAAGGACAGGTAGACCCTCTCATTGTCTTCTTTACCAGTGAAAAAAAAATATTGGGGTGCCTGGGTGGCCCAGTCAGTTGAGCATCCAACTCTTCATTTTGGCTCAGGTTGTGATCGCGGGGTCGTGGAATCGAGCCCTGCATCAGGGCCGAGTGGGGAGTTGGCTTGAGAGTCTTTCCCTCTCCCTCTCCGCCCCTCCCCCTGCTCATGCTCCCATGCGTACACGGGTACACTCTCTCTGAGATAAATTTTTTAAAAAATAATAATGTTTGTATTTTTAGTGTGATCCTGGAAGGTAATGGAAAGAAACTCTCATCTCGGGTTTTTCACTTCTTCCTTATAATGTTACATATAAGTAACATATATGTGAAACAGTATCAAGTGTTCTTTCTATACACTTTGTCTAGGAAATTTAGCAACTGAAGATCAAGGAGAAGGAAGATGGTACCAGACAACCATTGCTAATAATTAGGTGTCTGTCCTAGTGGCTGTTGTCTGGCTATGCCTTTCGTCTTCTTGTCCATCTCTGCACACACGTTTGTGGCCTAACTGTCCCCCCACCCCTGCCTTGCCCAGAGCAGCGCTTGCACACCCGTGCTTGGACAGGCCCGCCCTGCCTCACGCTGCAGTGAGTGCAGACCCTAGACCCTGGGAGGGGGGCTCACATGCGCAGTGGAGTCCTTGCTCTTTGGAGACTGAGATGAGGCGCAGGAACTGACCAGAGGGCCTTTGGGGCTTCAGGCATTGTGGGGAAAATCTGTGAACGAACTGCGTTTGGAGGAGCACACACTCAGCTGGGGTGCGTGTGGGCTGGCCTGAGCCGGACCTCAGTCGGGGCGCAGGGGACCACTGTCTCTACCCCGCCCTCCTTTGCACCCCTAGGTGTTTGACAACACCCCAGCGGCCCTGGACGGCACCGTGGCAGCTGGCGACGAGATCACCGGTGTCAATGGCAGGTCAATCAAGGGCAAAACCAAGGTGGAAGTGGCGAAGATGATTCAGGAAGTGAAGGTAAGGCTGCTGCAGGCGGGGGCGGGGGCGACACAGGCAGCCACGCCGCTTTGATGACCCTCAGCCTGTCAGAAGGCCTCGCAGGCCTGGAAGGGGACGGGCCCTTTCTCAGCTGCCCCCTTGGTACACCCGGGTCCGGGCCACAGTCCAGCCTCCCGCAGCGTCTCCCACATCCGGTCAATACCGCTCACGCTCCAGGACTTGTAGTGTCTTGGCAGGAGAATGGGCGCCTTCCGGTCCCCTGTCCTTCAGCTCCCAGGGTTGCTGTCAGATTGGGAACCATGCCTCAGGGCGAACCAGTGTGTCCCCGCTCAGGGCTGGAGCTGAAGCTAGAAGTCCAAGGTGAACCTGCTGGGGTCCACAGACACCCGATAAATGTCAGTCGGGCCATGCCGGGCCTCGGAGGGGTAGGAGGGAAAGAGGAGCCCCCTTTCCTCATCCCTGTAGGAGCTTTCTTGCTCACTGGGTCCTCCTGGGCTCACAGACCCCCAGGGAATGTTCTGGGCTCTGAGGCAGCTCGCAGTCTAGCTGCCGGTCTTCTGCAGACCACAATCACACGTGGCCGGTCCCTGCTCCCCGCGCTCCACCCCGGCTGCCATGGGCCGAGGTCTCGCCCCACAAATCCCCTCCTCCACCGATGGCAGGCAGTGTGCTGACTACTCACAAGCAAGCGTGTAGCCCTTTAGCCATTTTTTAGAGGTTTTGCTGCTGGTGACTTGGGAAACCAAAACGGCAGAGCCATTGGATGATTTCGAGCTTTTCAAGTCAGGGGTCCCAACCGTAGCTAGGCCATGTGTCCTGGCTCCCTCGCCCCATCCTTCCAGACCTCTCCTCACCCCTGTCCCTCCTCCGTGTCTCGGGGACCTGGCACCAATGTCCCTGCCTGTCCCTCTTGCCTTAGCCCTGGGCTTCTCCGCCCTCTCCTGTTTATTCTCATGTTCCGCCCCACCCGGCCGGGATGTTCCTGACCCGGCCCGGCCCTCTCGGGCAGAGGAGCTCTCGTGGGAAGTAGGCAGACCGTGTTTCATCCTGGCACAGACCGGGGGCTGGGGGTGTTTCCCCTGTGGCCCCTTCCTCACTGTTCACTTGTGTACTCATCACTACCCGCCCCGTCCTCTGAGGCCCGTCTCATGCCAGCGCCCCCTGATGTTGCCCACCGGGACGAGAGGTCCTCTCGAGTGTGTGCAGCCTTGACACTAACTCAGGGATCTCCCAGCTCCCGTGTTTGACTGCAGGCAGGGCTTAGGTCCCCATTTACCAGCACCCAGAGGGAGGAAGGGATGTGCTTTGGTCACCCCACTGGACCAGCACTCAGGTCTGAGTCCCACTGCCCTCAGCTGTTGTCTGTCACGGTCCTCACAGGGCACTTCTGCCATAGCCTGTGAGAGCTTTTGCCTCTCCCCCTGACTCTGAAGACATCAGGTCATTTTGATTTCCCTTCAGGGCTCATTCTGGAAATCCTGTTTTGTATTTGAATGGCTTCCAGCCCAAGTTCAAGGGTCTTAGGATTGCATGGATGAGAGTGACCTTTGCGCCTCCCTTAGTGGGGAAACACTTCTCAGGAGAAGGCCAGCACTCCCCTTCCTATTGTAGAAAGTGATTTGCATCAGCCTCTCTGCTGGCTTGGGCCCTAGGGGCTGTGGGCTGTCCCCCACCTCCCTGGCATCCCAGCCCCAGGCACAGAGAAGGAACGTGCATGTGTTAGTAGGGGGGCTACTGAGCCTGGGGTGACTTAGAGCGCCTCATTGGCAGAGCGAGGGCTTAGAGTGGGGCGTGGGGTGGGGGAGCACAGGGCACCCGATCTCACTGGAGCTCAGCGGGCTCTGAGCTCTGTGACAGCAGGGACCGTGTCTGCCCTTGTCCCTGCTGGTTCCGCAGGGCCCGGCCCATAGGACAAGGAAGGACCTGGTCACAGCCCTTGGCCCAGTGTGGCAGAATTTGGGGCCCCTCCCTGGGCTCAGGATTCCATTATGGCCACAGATTTTGGGGCACACAGGCTTCCCCAGGGGAGGGGCTGGGGACCCAGGAGACTCCTTCTCAACCCTCCTCTTTTCCAGGGGGAGGTGACGATCCACTACAACAAGCTGCAGGCAGACCCCAAGCAGGGCATGTCCCTGGACATTGGTAAGTGGGGACAGAACAGTGGTGCCCCGTGGCCCCCCAGGCCCCGGCCCCTGTTCTGCGTTTCTGTGACAGTGTGTCAAGAGTTATGTGGCTTTTGACCAAGTTAGGGGCCTGGGGGAGTACCCGGGGTGCTCTCCTACAGCTGCTCCTGTCCCATGTTGCAGTCCTCTCCCAGGGCCACCTCCTCTGACTGCCCTGCGGTTGTCCCTTATGGGCCAGCCTCTCCCCCTTCCGAAAGGGAGGGCAGCCTCTACAGTGAGGCATGGAGCCTCCTGCCCCCTGACACTCCCTTACGTGGCCCTGGCCACCTCTCCCACCCGCCTGCTCCCAGGAAGGCTCGAGGTCTGAGCTGGACGTCACTGGCCAGCCCGTGCTCCCATGGCATGCCCCAGGACAAGTGGCCTCCTGCTAGGAGGGCTGGGCTTTGGATCTGTAGAAGCTTCAGGCTCCAGAGCTTGGACATTGCAGCTTCGAGGTCCTCTGGACCAGCTGCCTCTTTCCACATCAAGGCTTGAGGCCCAGAGAGGGCTGTGTCTCCTGGGTGACGCACACCCAGGTCCCTTGGCTCTGGAGCCCAACACTTTCCTTCCACCCTAGGGCCATAGCCGCGTACTGGTTTTTAGGGAGAGAGGCTAAGATCAAGTGTGTCCTGGATGGAGGTGCTCTGTAGAAACCCCTTTGGTCCCATCCCGGTCCCCTTCCAGGACTCGTATATGCGGCAACGTATATAGTAACTGAGTCTGGGTCCAAGGTCACTTGTCGCTGATGCCACCTCCACTCGCAGAGGTGGGAGAAGAGGCTCTCCCTGGCTGGCCTGTTGGCACTTTTCACATTCGCCTCCTTCCGGCTCCCAGCACCGCCCTCATGGAGAGCGACTAGGGCAGGGGGTCCAGCGCGACCTCTGCCCCGGGGCTGTCCTCAGAGTCACCAGAGCTCAGTGCAGCCCCCTCGGTCCCTGAGGTTGCTGATCATGAGGAGATGAGCTGGGGCAGGGGCGGGCCAACAGCCCAGCTGCACAGGCTCCGTCACTGAGGCCCTTTCTGCCCTGCTCCCAGTGCTGAAGAAGGTAAAGCATCGCCTGGTGGAGAACATGAGTTCGGGGACCGCAGACGCCCTGGGCCTGAGCCGGGCCATCCTGTGCAATGGTGAGTCCTCTCTTCCTGCCCAGTGTCCCGGGGACAGGATCGCAGGTCTAGGCTTCCAGATCGAGGGGCACCACTGCCACCCGTGTTGCTGATGTGGGTCCTGCTGCCCGTGGGGCCGATGGTCACCCTCTGCACCCCCAGAGCGTCCATGGCAGTCAGCCAAGGCCTCCTGCAGCCAGTGACCCTCAGGCCCAGGGCACAAATGAGACAGATGTCCAGCTCCCTGCGCCTGTGCTTTCCTTCGCCACTGTCCCCAGCTGCTGTCACAGAGCCAGCAGCTACCCCGGGCCCTCTTAAGTGCATCCCCAGCTCCCTGCCTTTCTCCAGGAGGTGGCGCTGCCGCCCTTGTCGCAGAGGTTCCTGGCCAGGACTGGGGTGGGGGGTGGGGAGAAGCCACGGGACACGCACGTTCACACCCACGCATGTGTGTGGCCAGTAAAACACTTGGTCCTGCTCCCACCCTCCCCAGCCTGAGTTTATAAATAGCAGTTCTGCTGTGCCTGTGGGGGCGGGATTTAAATGCCTATATATATTGTGGGCTCAGCTGGGCGCACTGGGCTTCATTGGGGGGGTGTGGGGTGGGGTACAGAAGTGGCGGCTGCTATTTTCAGCTTCTTGGTGTCTATAAATCCCTGTTACTGTAGTTACCATGCGTTGAGATGAAATTAGAACTGGTTGTTGTGTTTTTCCCCCCAAACCTTGCAATTTCCCCAGCCTTAAATAGGGTTTCTAAAAATTGAAGCTGTCATGATGTCCCATGACCCAGCTAAAAACAACAGCGGGCGCTTACGTGGCTCCTTTCCTGCCAGGCTGGCCGGAGGCCAGGGCTCCGGGGAGCCAGTGCCTGGGGGCCAGCCAGGGGCCCAGCTCCCAAAGACCGCCCCCCGCCCAGCGATGCTCCCTCCTGCCCCGCAGAGCCCACACGGCCGCTGCCTGACACCCAGCCACCTCGCCCAAGCTCGCTTTCTACTCCCCTCCCCGCCTCCTGCTCAGAAAACCAGCGCTCAGGTCAACACAGGGGCGGGGGTCAGAGGGCGCCCCCAGCTGGAATAGTGCCCAGCTGTGTGCCATCGGGCAGGTTGTCTCTCAGCTTATCAGACCATGAGGGAAGTAGTCCCTGCCCCACATGTGCGTAGGGAGGGAGGACTGAGCTGTGTGCAAGGAGCCTTGAGCCTGGAGTCCTGGCTCACAGTGGCCGGGCTCAGTGAGGCCAGGCCCTGCCCTGAGGGGCCACCACATGAGGAAGCCAAGGGCACCGACACCTGCACTGACCCTGCCCTGAGGTGGCCACCGGTGCTCCTGGTGGGGAGGTGGGAGGTCCCCTGTCCCCTCACTGCTGGAGGGGCCCTCCCTCCCATGATCCAAGAAGCTGGTCCCGGCCCCTGCAGTCCCCTTGCTCCCATTTTGAGCCCTTGAGGGGAAGCAGCTGCCCCCACCTCGCCCTTGACAGCCCTTTGGGTCATCCCACTTGTTGCTTGGCCACTGTCTCCTCTGTTGGACTGTGAGCCTCGAGGGCATGACGTGGGCTCATTCACCAAGGCCATTCTGTGGGCCTGCCGCTGGTCCGGCAGGCAGAAGGTGCTTGAGAAACCTCTGTGAAGCGAGTGAGGTTGATGGCCAAGGCCGGGTCCAGCGCGAGCTCGGCTTCAGGGCCCTTCCCGACCGGGTCGTCCCTCCCTGGGTGGTTCTTCCTCCGGAGCTGTCACACATGTTTCTCACGCACTAAGCCCTGCGTCACGCCTGCACGGAGGCTGTCCAGACCACTCATCTCTCCGGCTTCGCTCTGACGGCCTTCCTCCTCGGCTCTCGGCAGGGTTTGTCCTAGAGGCACGGGGGCCCTGGCTGCGAGGGCAGGGCCTGCCTTTGCGTGGCCATTGGGAGCCACCCACAGGCGGGGCCGTGGGGATGGCCCAGCCGTTTTTCACTCGTGACTTTGTATAATGTATAAATGTATAAATGATCGTCCCCTTTCTGCCCCTCAGATGGGCTCCAGCCCGCTAGGGTGGGGACTTACCTTGGGGGTGGCCCGGGGGCCGCCCTGCCTGTCCCTGGCGTGCCTGTGGTTTGGGTACCCTGGGCTGCCCCCAAACTCTCCCAAGCCCAGCCGAGGTGACAGCTCCCCCTCCCTGGGACCCCATCCCCTGCCAGGCCTGGTTCTCTTCTGGGGGCTGCCTCGTTCCTCCCAAATCTGGCTCGAGCCACCCCCGGCTCTCTCCTTCCCCCATGCTCGTCGGGACTCACTGGCCTCCCCTTTTCTCCGACCCCCCCAGACGGGCTTGTGAAGAGGCTGGAGGAGCTGGAGCGGACCGCCGAGCTGTATAAAGGTGAGAAGCGAACCGGGCACGGGCTCTGCCCCGGGGTCGACCGCCATAGCCCAGCTCTGAGATGGTGGCAGCAGAGGCTGGAAGGCCAGCCTGTGACATTCTAGGACGGCGGCCATTAGGAGTTCTTAAGAAAAAGCCTCTTAAGACATACTTTTTCTGATTATGAAACTAATACACATCCGTAAAAAATGCCAATAATAGCCCATGTAAATGCGGTGGGGGTCTCTCTGAGCCCGACTCTCTCCCTGGGAGATGGCCTGTGGGAGGCCTTGTTCACCATCTGCCCCCACCGACCCTTGGCTCTCCTGACGGGGGCTCCTCCTGGTTGGCGCTGGGCCTGGGGCTAAGCCTTCCACCCCGGGCCCTAGTGGGGCTGTGGGAGAAGCCGGTGAGCTCAGGAACGGTGATGGCCTTGGGGTGGGGTTGGAGGCTGTGTCCTGCGGGCCGCTGTGGTCCCGCCATGTGCCCCCATCCCCTTTCGGTTGGGTCTCTCCCACAGGAATGACAGAACACACCAAGAATCTCCTCCGGGCCTTTTATGAGCTGTCACAGACACACCGGGGTAAGGGCGCCCCCAGACGTGCTGTGCGATCCTGGGAAGACCCTCGCTCCCCTCTGAGCCCCATGCTTCCCCATACAGTGAGAGTGTGGCTGATCCCCTCCCCGGGGCCTTCCTCACCCCCACACTCAGGCAGATGCCACAGCATCTGACGTCAGGCCAAGTTCAAGCTGAGCCTGGTCTGGATGCCAGGAGCTATAGCAGTAACGGGGGCCAGTAGGGAACATGCGGATCAGCTGGTCATCGGTGGGGTCCGATCCCCTGTCTGGCCCTGCCCCATCTTACCTCTACTGCCCTTGACAGTGTATAGAGCCTTCCCTATTTGTGCCCTCGTTTCCTACAAGTCTGCTTGCTGGGCAGGGCAGCTACAGTTAGTACCAATTTAGTTGGGAAAATGAAGCCCCAGGTCGATGAAATGGTCACCCAGCTCCCGCGGGCAGAGCTGGCCTTAGACCCCGGCATCCAGATTCCCAGAGCAATGCTCTGCTGTCAGGCAATGCCAGCCTCTCCAACCTTGACTGAGCCTTCTTCCCACATGGCCTGGTCACTCTGGGGAATGAGGGCTACTGTCTTGGGTATAGACCCAGCTCCCCTGGGGGTACAGACCCAGCTGTCTTCAGGTGCAGACCCACCTCCCTTGGGACATAGACTTGATGCAGACCTTGGCCTTCAGGCTGCCATGCCCCCTGCCCTGCTTCTCCCCAGCAAATCCCTGGCTTCCCCATGAAGGGGTCAGGTAGGGACAGCCTTCAGGGAAGACTTGTCCTGCAGCCTTTGGGGACGTGTTCTCCGTCATCGGGGTGCGGGAGCCCCAGCCAGCAGCGAGCGAGGCTTTCGTGAAGTTTGCCGACGCCCACCGCAGCATCGAGAAGTTCGGCATCCGGCTGCTGAAAACCATCAAGCCAGTAGGTCATGCCGGGCATGTGTGTATGTCAGCATGTGAGGGTAGAGAGGGGACAGTGTGGTGTGCAGAAGGGGCCTGGACTGGAGTCAGTGGGCGTAGATCCTGGCTTGGTCCCCTGCACGGCTGACTGTGGGTCAGTCACTCTGCCTCCCTGACCTCACTCGGCCTTGACCTCCAGGCTGGTTTCTGGCCCTGGCTGCACCTGGGCCCAGCCTGTCCTCTCACCATGGAGTGGACAGACTTGTCCGAGGGTGCCCCTTGGCTCTGACCCCTGGGTCCCATAGAAGGATTGCTGGGTCAGTGCTATCTTTGTCACACGGGTCCACCTAACTTGCTCCCCGCGGACCGAGCACCTGCCCCCACCGTTCCCTTCCAGATGCTGACAGATCTGAACACGTACCTCAACAAAGCCATCCCAGACACTCGCCTCACCATCAAGAAGTACCTGGATGTGAAGTTTGAGTACCTAGTGAGTGGTCTCCAGCCCCTGGGGAGGGACGAGTCTGGCATGCTGGGGAGAGAACCGACCTAGGGATTTTCCCCGCAGTTGGCCACAGGCTGGCAAGCAGGACGGGGCTGGAACCTCTGTCATGTCTGATTGAGGATGTGGGACCGGGACCTGCAAGTCCTGGGCAGTTGGGCAGCAGCCAAGACCCTTCCCCGACTGCTCAGAGGAGCCTCTGGGAGCCTGGGGTAGGCAGAGCACTCACTCTGGACCCCTCCGACCCCTTGGGGATCACTTTTACAATGGGTCAGTGGTTATAAAGTGGGTGCCAAGGGACATTACTGAGTTTTTTCCCTGGAAGATTTTACTTTATTTATTTATTTATTGAGAGAGCACGTGAGTGGGAAGAGGGGCAGAGGGAGAGAATCTCAAGCAGACTCTGTGCTAAGTGTGGAGCCTGATGCAAGGCTCAGTCTCATGACCCTGAGGTCATGACCTGAGCCGAAGTCAAAAGTCAGACACCCAACCCACTGAGCCACCCAGGCGTCCCTGGACATTTTTGAGTTTTATGCTGAAATAAAAATTCTCATGGTCAAAGGAGTTGAGGGGAAATGCCCCAACAAGCCAGCCAAGGCTCCTTTGCTGCGGGACTTCTCAGAGCCTTTGACAGGCTTGTGTGCCACGTGACTCTTCAAGGGCCTTCCTGCGTTCTTTTGACCACGGAGTCCATTTCAACCCAGAGCATTACTTGGGACTTGAGTTTGGTAAACACTGGGCTGTTTCTCAGGCCCTTGCCACCCTCCCAGATGAGTGACCTCTCCTGCATGCTGCCCCCTCGCCTTGGGCCTCCCCAGGCAAGGGCTAGTCCGAGTGAGGTGCCAGCCCCGGGGACGGGTGTCCGCCTATCCCAGTTGAGGGCATGCAGGGCCCAGGCCTGGCATGGCCGCCCCCAGGCAGGGCTTAGGGGTCCTGTGGGGCATGGAAAGAAGTGGGGCATCAGGGGGAGCACCCAGGAGGCGCAGCCCGTCTGACATTGCGGCCTCGCTGTCCCATACAGTCCTACTGCCTGAAGGTGAAGGAGATGGACGACGAGGAGTACAGCTGCATCGTGAGTTTTCAGGGGCGACTGGGGGGGTGGCCCTGGTGCTGGAAAGTCTTGGCGTGTACACACCTTTCCCAGCTTGTCTCACAGAGGCCCACAAATGTCCGGGGGCTGCCAGGGGCACCGGGTGGCTCAGGCCAACCGGAGAGGCCCGGGCATCTGGCTGAGCTCTTATTCTGGACTTGTGGGGCTATCCGTTCCCGCCCCGGCCCCCCGGGCCTCCGAGTGCGGCCCTCTCGCCGCGCGGCCGCTCCCCCAGGCTTGGCGAGGCTGACTTTCCTCACTCTGAAGAGGCATTTCTAATCCTCTACATTTTTAATATTTTTGATGGCAGGATGATTCCCCTTAGCACTAAATATTCATTATTTAACGTGCATGGGTGTGGTCTTTTGTTTTCTTCCCAAAGAATAAGTGCTTCGGGCAATCAGAAGTGGGGGACCAGGGGTGTGGTGTGGCGGTGTGAGCTGGGAGCTGGTGTCTGTCCCAGCGCGGGCTCCCCCTCCCCGCCTTCCCATCCAGCCGGGGTCCTGATGTGTTCCCCTCCCCCCTCCCGCGCCCCAGGCCCTGGGGGAGCCCCTGTACCGCGTGAGCACTGGCAACTACGAGTACCGCCTGATCCTGCGCTGTCGCCAGGAGGCCCGCGCCCGCTTCTCCCAGATGCGCAAGGACGTGCTGGAGAAGATGGAGTTGCTAGACCAGAAGCACGGTGAGGGGACTAGGTGGGCACTGGGGGCCGGACACATGTGCCCAGCCCACGGCCTCTGCCACCCTTGGGCTGGGGTGGGTGGGTACCGCCTTCTCCCCCTTTCAGAACTGGGAAAACGGCGGCCCCGAGAGGTGAGGAACCTACGTGCGGTTCCAAGGCCCCGCCATGGGAGAGCTTTGAGTCTGACCCAAGATGGAAAGCTCTGGCGGGAACGCCCCCACCCCCTCAATCCCCACCTGGGGTCTGGCTTGGGTGGGACTGACCGGTGCCCTGGGGGCGGAGTGGGGTGCTGTCCACAAGCTCTGCGCTGGGCTGGGCCGCCCTGGCCTTGCCCACTCCAGCGGCGTGGGGGTCGCCGAGGGCGCGCTGGGCAGCCCAGGGGCAGGGGGCGGGCCCGGGCAGGCCTGGGGGTGGGGCTTCTCCACCGGCGCCCGTGTGCCCATCCGCCCCAGTCCAGGACATCGTGTTCCAGCTGCAGCGCCTCGTGTCCACCATGTCCAAGTACTACAACGACTGCTACGCGGTGCTGCGCGACGCCGACGTCTTCCCCATCGAGGTGGACCTGGCGCACACCACGCTGGCCTATGGCATCGGCCAGGATGAGTTCACTGACGGGGAAGACGAGGAGGACGAAGACGACGAGGACACAGCAGCCGGGGAGCCGTCCAGGGACGCGCGAGGGGCTGCCGGGCCCCTGGACAAGGGTGGGAGCTGGTGTGACTCCTGAGTGCCCGCACAGGGTGCGGATCTGGGGGGTAGGGGGAGTGGGAGGACGGAGCACGGGAGCGGGGGCGGGGCCGCCGCCCGCATAAAGGCCTGCTGGCTTGGGGCGCCTGCCTCCCTGCTTCTCTGTCCTAGCACAGTGACCCCAGGCTCCTGCTCAGGAAAGTCCCTGGGCCCACATCCTGGGACCTGGACTCTGGACACCCCCCTCCCCTCCCCGCCTCCCCAGCCAGATGGAGAGCTTGGCCCCTGGAACTGCCTTAGGAAGGAGAGTGGGCACAGAGAGGAGGAGGGGCTGGAGGTGGCAGGCAGTCTGGGACCCATTCCCTGTGGGCACCAGCACTGGCCCCTCCTGGAACCTGCTGGCGTGGGGGGCTGGGGGCAGGCCACCGAGGTTGGGGGCAGTGGCCATGTGCCACCTCAGCTCACCCCAGGCCGGCCCCAGCCCTGCCCACACTCACTCCCCGGTGGCCTTTGTTCATTCGCTTCTCCCGGCTCAGCCGTTTCCCGGGGCAGGGCGGGACCCTGGGCCTGTACTGAATAAACAGCAGCCCAGACGGAGCGGCTCCTTGCGCTGGCCTCACACCCTCCTCGTGCCCTCGACGCCCCGTCTGCCCCTCCCTGGTCCTGAGGGAGGGCGGGATCGATGTTCCCTTCGGACCGATCACTTCTTTCTTGCCGCAGCTCTGTGAACGGGCGCTACTGTCCCCACGTACAGACAGGTGACCGAGGCTCTGGCTCAGGGCCACCCGGCGTCCAAGGACAGAGAGGGATCTGGACTTGAATCTGGCAGGTCCCAGAGACCCCAGGTTCACTCCTTTGTGGAGCCTCTTCCCTCCTCCTTCACCTTTGATCTGCCCGGGCTTGTGGCCAGTGGCTCTGCCGTATTTGGGAAGGGCAGGACAGACACCGAGGCCCATCGAGGGGAGAATGTCAGGGGCGCCCCCACCACTCTAGGCACACCCATTCCGCCGCTGCGAGGGAAGGCCAGCGGGGAACGCAGCCCCAGTGCTCTGTGTCTTTGCAACATGGGCGAAATAGGCTGGCTGCGTCTCCCGCCAGCTGTGCGGTCCCTGTTCACACCTGCGGTCCCCACGTAATCATCGGTGGCCCTTTTCACTTCCAAAGTGTCTCTGAACAATGACTTCCACGTGCATCCTGAGAAGGGGAGGCCGCAGGAAGCTGTGGGGTGGGCGGGGTCTAAAATGGGGGGAGGGGGAATGGCTTTCAGCTTGTCGGCTTTGAGGACATGGGGAGTGGGCAGAAACCCGGGTGGGACTGTCAGCGGGACTGGGAGCGTGGAGGGAGGAACAGGCTGTCACTAGGTCCCCTGGAGCGGCCAGTCCAGACCACTTCTCTGAAGGAACTGCCAGTGTAGAGGCCAAGGGCACAGACTGCTACCCGCTGCTGGGTTCTAGTCACAGCCTGTGTGACCCTGGGCTACTCCCTAACCTCTCTGTGCCCCAGTTTCCCTATCCATGCTTGTGGCCAGTAATGGTCCTGACCTCCCTGGGCTCTTACGAGCATTTGATGAATTCACACTTGTAAAGGGCCTAACCGTGCGCGGTGCACAGTCCCTGTCCTGAGTGTTTAATAAAATGTCGTCACTGCTGTGGTGACTCAGGGATGCAGACCCGTGTGTCAGCCCGGCATTTCCCAGGGCTCCCACACCTTCGTAGGGCCCGGATGGAAAATGAGACCAACGATGGGGGGTGGGGAGGGGCACTGGTGGGATGGGCTCTCCTGAGCCCTCGGCTCGATAGCAGGGGTCTGGGGGGGGGGGAAGCTCCTTCCTACTCTTGGGCCCGGTTTCCACACTCGAGACTTGGAGGGAAGGAGGCAAAGGAAGGGCAAGGTGTCAGATCTGTGGGAAGAGAATAATAAATACGGAGAGGGAATAGATCCCAGAGGCTTTCCAGCCAGGGCGAGACCAGGGCGCCCTGCCCTTGGATCCAAGTGTAAGAGGGCAAAACTGCGAGAGAGACCCTTAGTGCCTCCAAGTCAGAACACCTCCCCCTCCACGCCCCTTCTTCCCCTCTGCCACTCGTTCCCCCAACACCTTCCCGGTCAGAGGGCCCTGGGGAGAGCCTCTCAGACTCCCTCCCATCCTCCCACCCCCACCAGCCACCAGAGCTGGGAGGCACAGGAATGGACGCGCCATCCCAAGCTGAGTTTTATGAAGTTCAGTTTCACAAGGTCAAGCCCAGGCCACGTGCAGCAGCATCACTTAGCCAGGGTAGGGCCCGGCCATGGCCCACTGGGCAGATAAAGGTGGGAGCCCTCCGCCCCGACCCCAGGGGGGACCACGGCAAAGCAGCTTCCAGTGTGCCAGGCCCACTTGGGACAGCTGGGGCTCTTGGAGGGTAAGCCCCATTCCCAAAGTCACCAGCCGCCTCACCTGCTGTCCCTGGGGCTATACAGACTTGGGGTCCAGCCCTGGCTCTGCCTCTACCTCTGGTTCCGTGGGCCCAGCCCCGGGGCTTGGCACCTCCCGGGCTTTGAGGCTGCCAGGCTCCTCAGCCCCAGTGGGCAGAGCCCCAGAGTCCCCTTTGGCCTCAGCATCCTCGGTGTCGCTGGCCTCGCCCTCGGTGCCTTGGCTGGGCTGGGGGTTCCGAGAGCGGCGCAGGCAACAGCTGGTGGCGACAGCCATGAAGACCCCGGCCAGGACCACCTCAGAGCCAGCCAGGTAGAAGATGATCTCGTAGTTCTTCAGGGCATCCACCAGGCGGCCTGGGACGGAGGGAGGCGGGAGGTGAGGGCCTGCAGGGGGTGGGGGGGGGACCCACCCTCCCGCCTTTCTCACAACCTCAGATAAAGGACCGTGTGCACCCTCAACTTGGTGGGGTTTACATTTGGGTGACACAGACACGCCCCCATCTTTATGCCCGTTTGACAGTGGCGAAACCCGACGCATGTTCTGCCATTTGAGACCTTAAAAATGTCACCACCTCCTTGAACCTCAATTTCTTAAGTAATATAGGGCCTTTGGTGAAGCAGCACTTTCCAGGTTACAAGGCACCCCCTCCACCCCCAGACCGAGACCCCACGTGTGCCGTGTGATTTGCCCAGCGAGCGGGTGGGGAGGGGGCACTGGGCTCAGCCTCACCCTCCTGGGGGCCCCTAACGCCTGCTCTTTGCTGCTAACCCCCCTGGTCTTCAGGGGCCTGGCTCAGCTTTCCGTCTCCCTCCCCAGCCTCCTCCTGTCCCTTCTCGGGGCCCTGATACCCGAGACTGAGCTTCCACTACTGAGCTGGCGTGGTAGGACTCATGGGTCACAACCCATCTTTTCCCCTCTGTATTTTCCAAATGTTCTATCCAGGCGCATATTACTTTCATACACAGGAAAATCTTGTAATTGCAATATCCTCCCCCCTCCCAAGTGTGGGGGAGGTCTGTGGGCTCCATCCTCTCCTGGCATTTTTGTCGCTGACCATCCAGGCTGTGACCCCTTGGTCTATAGGTCTGTGGCTTCAGGGAGGCTTCCCGGTGTCCCCCAAGCTGGCTGCCTGCCTGAGCCCCTCTGAGCACTGCACCCAAACTTGCCTCCCTGGTCCCCGCCCAGCCAACCAGTCCTGTCCCTGCCCCTCCCACACTCAGCCCTGCAGTGTTCTCCACCTTCTCACCCCCTATTAGATCCGCCCACCCAGGGCGCATGAGAAAATGGAAGAATCCCTGAGCCTCTGGGGAGCTGGTTCGATGGCTTTTGGTGGTGGGCTTGGCCGCCCTCCCACTGAGATCAGATGACAAAGCCTGATGAGGACATTGAGCTAGACCAGCCCTGGAAGGAGGGGCAGTTCGCCCCATCTCGGGGGCAGCCTGGGCCCCAGCAAAGGCGGCCTCCCCTCATTGCTCATCCCACGGACTGACCACAGGCAGGCTATGCTGGGACAGGGACAACCCGCCAACCCAGGAGGACCCTGACATCCCCCCTTTCCAAGCTCAGTTCCTGCCTCACTTGTATAGGAACCCTGAATCCCTAATGTGGCCCACACTCTCCTGCGGGGTCTGCACTGCACTGTGAGGCCGCCTGCATGCCGGCCCCTGCAGCTCCTTCCCTGGCCTGTCATCATGGTGACTTCCCAAGGCCAGTGACTGGAGCGGAAGGCCCAGACCCTGTCCCTGCACAGCGGCTTCACCAAGTGAGAGCAGGGCCTGGCCATGGCCCAGTGGACAGATGAGGGAGGAAGATCCCCCCCCCCCAGGCCCCAGGGAGACCACTCGTGAGCACCCCGAGCACACGGCCGGTTCCTCCACGACACTGTCCCTGTCCTGGTCCCCCTTAGAGGCTGAGGACACTCAGCTGCCATGTTCCAAAGGTAGGGGCATTTAGCCCTGGGCAGGGCTCTGCTCTCACTCTGGGACCACCCTGTACTAGGCGCCTGTGCCTCAGCTCTCCCACCCACAAAACGAGAATAAGAATCCGCCCTTCACAAGGACTTTGTGCCAGCGTTTGAGATGACCCAATGGGTCAGCAGCTGTCAGTGCTGGGTGCTTCCTGGCATCTTTCCCGCTGCTTCCGGCCCCACCCAGAGCTAGCAGGACCGGCTTGGAGGAGGGGCTCATTAGCCGTGGGAAGACCCCACCAGGCTGTCTCCGCCAGTGGGTCCCTTGCCCTCATCCCTGGAAGCTCCACGTGGGACAGGGCTGGCGCTCCCCGCCCCCCCCCCCGCCCCGGTCTAGGGAACTAGCCCCGCACCCCCTCCTCCCAAGGGGCGCACCAGCAGAGGGCGGTCCAATGAGCACAGCCACGGCCTCGACCAGCAGCACCAGGCCCAGCGCACTGGGGAAGCGGTGCGAACCCACGGCTGCCATGAGCACCTCGAACTGCAGCGCGCCCACCATGCCGTACGAGAGGCCGAAGGCGACGCAGAAGGCGACGAGGGCGCCGTAGGAGCGCGCGCGCGCGCTGCTCAGGTCCGTGAGCCCGTTGGCCATCAGCGCCAGGCTGAAGAGGTAGGCGACATGGGGTCGTAGGCGCGCCAGGCCCGCCAGGGCCCCGCACGCCGGCCGTGCCACGATGTCGACGAAGCCCACGATGGACAGCAGGAAGGCGGCGTCGGCGTCCGGCACGCCCGCGTCCTTGGCGTAGTTCACCAGCAGGATGGCGGGCACGAAGAGCCCGAGCGCCATCAGGAACTTGGTGACGGCGTACACCCCGAAGGCGCGGTCGGCGCACACGGCCACGTCCAGCAGGCGCCGACGGGGGCGGCCGCCAGGGGGCGCCTCGCGCAGCCGCAGCCCCTCGCGCTCCGCCTCCGCGTCCCCCGGAGAGTCGTCCGCGCTGTCCCGGCGAGGTCGCGGGCCGGGCCCCGGCGGCGGCGGGCGCATGACGGCGCCGCACGCGCAGCAGTGCAGCAGGAGACCGCCGAGCAGCAGGAAGCCGCCGCGCCAGCCGAAGTGCTCGAGCAGCTGCTGGCCCAGCGGCGACAGCGCCGACAGGAACACGGGGCTGCCCGCCGCCGCCAGCCCGTTGGCCAGGGGCCGCCGCCGCTCGAAGTACAGCCCCAGCATGATGAGCGACGGCTGGAAGTTGAGGGCCAGGCCCAGGCCTGCGGGCGAGGGCGGCGCTGTGCCGGGCTCCCCGAGGGCGCCCCCAGCCCCAGCCCCAGCCCCCAGCGGGAGGGAGGGGCCAGGCCCCGACGGGGCGAGCCCACCACCTCTGGAGGGGAAACTGAGGACAGGAGACCTTGCAGCGAGGACTCCGCCCGGCTCCCCAACCCGCGAGACCAGCCCCTTCCCCGTAGGGGAGGGAGTCGTGGCCGTCCTCACCTGTGAGCACCCCGGCGGTCAGGTACAGCTCCAGGAGGCGCGTGGCGAAGGATGCCAGGACCATGCCCGCCGAGGCCAGCAGCCCACCCACCAGCATCACGGGACGACAGCCAAAGCGGGTCACGAGGATGCTGGAGACCGGACCTGTGGGCAGGGCACGGTCACCGCTTAGGCTGGACTAATCTCTCTCCCCGGCGCACTCCAGGCTGGGCACGTCCCAGCCCCCAGAAGATGGCATGAGGGGATGAGGGCACCCGCGGGTCAGAGAGGACAGTGTCTGCCCAAGGTCACCCAGCCTGGCTGGGACAGACCAAGGAGGCAACACCCTGCGGGGAGGTAGGGGAGGGACCTGTCTTGTTCTGGGGAGGCCCATCCCCAGCTCTCCTGAGAACAGGGGACCCAAAGCAGAAGAGGCTGACGCCCCTCGCTTTTGATCTGCCCAGCTGGGCGCGTCCCCTGGACTGCTCAGCCTCTTTCCACCCCTTCCTCCCACCCCGCCATGGGCTCGGCTGGGGTGACAGGATTCACCCCATCCCGGCGCACCCCACAGGCGGTTAGGGCGCCGGGGAGCAGGGATAGCGGGGAATTTTATTTACATCTGTTTCCCCACCTGTAACAGAAGCTGTTGTAGGTCTTTGGCAGGAATGGAGGGGCCCTGCCGGCTGGCCAAACCGACCCCCATTCAGCCACCGCCCCCTTCCTGTCCCCCTCCTCCCCTGTCTCCGGGACCAGCGCTTCCACGGGAAGAAAGTGGTCTCCGTGCCCTTCCCGAGGGGTCTGGGGGGTGCCCGGGGGGTGCCCAGGGGGTCCGCGTCTCCTGGTCCCGGATCCCGTCTCCCAATCCTGGGCTGGGGGAGGAGGAGCAGGGACCCGCGAGGGGGCGCTGACCGGTGCCGTAGAGCATGGCGAGCATGATGGAGGACACCCAGGCCGTGTCGCTGTAGCCCGCGCCGAAGTCGCGCATAAGCGCGCGGAAGAAGACGCTCACGGCCTTGGGGAAGCCGTAGGCGAAACCGGTGACCACGAAGCAGGCGCCCAGCACCGCCCAGCCCCAGCCACCGTCTGGGGGTCCCGCGCCCCGCCGGGGGCCGCCAGCGCCCATCGCTGCTGCCTCTGCTGGTGGAAGGGGACAAGAGGGAGCAGCGAAGTTCTGTAGCCCCGACAGGAAAGGGGAAGGAGACCCAGCGTGGGAAAACTGAGGCATGGGGGCTACCGAAGGGAGCCCTGCTCTGGGAGCGAGCCAGGAGGGAAACCGAGGTAGAACCGCCCCCCCCAACCTCCCCCTCCTTCAGGGGACCTGTGAAAGAGGAGGGGAGGATAATAGAAGGGTTCCCACCTGAGTCCCAACTTCAGGAAGACGCCCCTGGAGGACACTCCTTGTCTAGGGACCTAATGGTGGCCGGAGACGGGGTGCTGGTGAGTGGGGGGGGCACTCTGGGCCCCCTGTGCGTGGGAACCATCAGCGTTCCCAGGGTGCACGTGTGAGGGTCTCAGCGCAGGAATTTACAGGGGGTGTGGGGCAGGCAGGGGCAGCCCCGCGCCTGCTGCGAAGTGGGTGGCTTTATTTGGCTCCTGGGCCTTGCCATATCTTCATTTTTCTCAATGATCAGAAATGACTATTGTCATCAGAGCATTGTGGAAAAAACAAAAAAACCCAAGACCTGCCGTAATAACATTAGCCTCGCTTCAGGAGCCGAGGGGGCTGAGCTCCCGTTCATCCCCTCTTAGCCATGGGTTCGCTCCGGGACTTGGGCAGGTCCCTTTCCGCGCTGAGCCTGTTTTGCCACCTGCAAGATCGGTGATCGGTTACCCCCCTCCCACCCCGGGGCCAACCAGGAGCCTTGGCGGGGGGTGCTCAGATCTCTGGTTCCACTGGGACCTTTGAGGAGGCACTAAAGGGACCTTCTGATCTCCAAACCCTGAGAAGCCCCCCCAAACCCCTCCAAAAATAGAAAACAGCTCTGAAGTCTCTCACACTTCTGGAGCTCCAGCCAGGGGTTCACACAGCAGCCGCCTGTGCATCTCCCCACCAACAGAGGAGGAGGTGGGGTGCTCACGGGCAGGGTGGGCCAGCCCACAGCCGGGGAAGGAGACTCCTTCCCTCCTGCTGCCCCTCCGCTCCTAGGTCTCCCTCCTGGCCCTGGGCAGTGCCAGGTGCCCAGCAGGGATTGGAGACTCTGACCTTCTCTCACCAGGTTCTGGCTTTACCTGCCTGTCGTCCCCTCACAACGGCTGCAGCCACTTGAACTAGGACAAGGAGGCGGTCCCAGCAGCTCTCCACTGCACTCACCTGAGCCTTCCGGTGGGTTTGAATGTCCAGCCTCACATCTCCTGAGGCCTCCCGGGAGGGGCTGCCCTGCTGGATCCCCCTGGGAAGCCTAGCCTTATGGGGGCACGCAGCCGAAGGCCCCAAGTTACCTGCAGATCAGCCACTGGCCTCTCAGCTCTAGCTCCCTCCCTCAGGCCTCGGGCTTAGGGTGCCACTCCCAGCCCTCTAAGAGGCTTTTGCTTGGAAAGGGAGAAGGGACAGGGCACTGACCGCAGCGCAGGGCCACGCTGGACCTCACAGGGGGGTCCCTGTCTCGGGCCCTCCCAGCAGAGCTAGATAAGGAGCCCTCTCCTGGGCAGAGGACACACAGAGCCCTACTCTGGGGGACAGGGGGCTCCTAGTGGTGGGGGCATCGCCCTGCCCTGGAGAGACCCCACCCGCCCTACTCACCTCAGTGCCTCGCCTGCCCCCCACCCCCAGGCCACATTCCAGGAGGGGCTTCTGAGGCTTTCCCTGGATCAGGCTAATCTAGGTCGGAGAGCCTGGGACTGTGAGGGCGGGAGGGGCCAGAACAAAGGATGCTGTGTCCCTGGCTGCTAGAGGGTGACTTGCTGGTGGTCCCAGACCTTGGCCACTGCCACCTCTCCCCCTCTGGAGAGCCCCCCCCCCCCCACTTTCTGGGAAACCTGGAGTGTCAGAGAGACTGGGCCAGAGCTGGGTGGACACAGCCTGAGGGCTTCAGGGCAGACCTCAAGATTTGCTTCAAATGGGCACTATGTGAGGGGCTGTGCGCGAGCGAGGCAGAGCGAGGCAGTGACCTTCAGGAACTCCTGGACTCCATTCTCCAGCGGGAGGCCTCCAGCCCCACCCCCACCCCTGTGCCCCAAATCAGACACCACCAGTCCTGCGCTCTGTCCTCTTGCTTTATTTCTCACGTTTACAAAAGTTAAACAGGATGACATATGCGGGGTGGGGAAGCAGGTGCACAGGGGCTCCTCCCTACTGGGGCAGAGAAGGGGGAGGGGGTTGGGGTGCACGCGGCAGGCCCCCAGGGACAGTCCTGGGGCCCTTGGAGAGGAAGAAATGGTCCTGTCCCCCCATTCTGCCTGCTTTATTTTGAAGGTCCCGGACCCCAGGCCAGCCCTCTTGGAGCTGCTCAAGCTGCGGGCACGGTTTGGGGCGGGGTAGCCACCCCCAGGATCAGGACCCCAGCTTCTCGGGTCCACTGCTGCTGCTGCTGCTGCCACCAGCTCTGGGCAGCCCCCGGGCAGGTGTGGGGGGACGACCTCAGCCCCCTGCCGGAGGAAGGCGTCTCAGCGGATGAGGGGCGCCGAGCGGTCGTTGGTGACCGTGGGACGCAGCTTTACCGTGGCGAAGGGGTTCGTGCCCCTGTGAGGGGAGAGGTCAAGGTGAAAGGGGTCCAGGTCTTCAGCTGCCCACCCCTACCTCCTGCCCCCAATGGCCACCTCCACTCACCCCCGCCTCGTCTCTCCCCACAGCCCTCCTCTGAGTCCCATCCCCTCCAGCTCCCATCCTAGAACTCACCGAGGGAAGAGCTCTGGAGGGTGCTGCTCCCAGGACATAAGTTTCTGCAGTGGGGGTGGAGGAAGGGCCAGGTTTAGGGGAGAAAGGGGCAGGGGAGCCCCTGACTCTGCTCTTCTCCATTCCAGGAAGGCAGAGGACTAGACCCGTGGCCCCGGGCAGCACCAGGCTTCTGGGAAACAAGACTAGGTGTCCTGAAGCCCAGAATTCTGTGGGTTTCAGACGTGAGAAGCCTGGGCCAGAGGACCACCCCCCAGGCTCCAGCTGCTCTCCCTACACCCCACTCCTCACCCCGGTCCTGCCCAGACAGCTCTGGTCCCAGCTTTGACCAAGGATCCTGGTCTTGCCTCTCCTGGGAGGTGGGAAGGACAGAACTTTTCCAGGGCTCCCAGCAAGATGACGGGGGCTCCAGTCCCTGTCCCCCTCCCTAGACTCAGAAGTCCATCCCACACCTCCCCTGCAGATGGGTAAACTGAGGCTGGGGTGGGAAGGCCCCTTGCCAGCCAGCCAATTAGTGGCTAAGCAGGGAGGGTTACCTGGTCTCTGGTCTCCCTGCCCATCAGATGAGCCCAGGATTGGGGAAAGGCTAGGTGTGTGCAGGGCAGGGTGGGGGGCGCTCACCTTGACATCACTGGCTACCCCTGGGCTGCCCATGCTGCTCCGGCGGCTGTCAGGCAGGGGTGTGGGTGCAGGGCTGGGGGCGTGGCTGGGGACGTGGGTTGGGGTCCGGGAGCGGGACTGGCCGTCCCAGTACTCCGAGGGGGCTGTAGAGTTGCCCGGCCGGTCCAGGAGGTCATCAAGGCTGTGGCTGCCCCGGAGTGGGTAGGATCTGAGTCCAGAGGAGGGAGGCACGGGAAGGGGGTCAGACGTCAGGCCCCTGCTGCACCCCACCCCATCCTGCTGGCGTCCCACAGCCTCCTATAGGGGGCTGTACCAGGGGAGAGGAGGCCACACGGGCTTGAAGTCAGTCCCAAGAGGAGGCAGAGGGATGGATGCAATGACTTTCTCCTGGGGCGGGGGGACCTCCTCTTCCAGGGTACAAAGGAGGCTGCGCCCACTGAAGACAGCCACTCACAGATATCCCCTTGGGGAGTGGGGCCACCACCCCTGCCAGGTACCTGGAAGGAAGCTCATTCATAGGGCTCATCGGGTTCATGGAGGTCACCGGGTTCAAGGGGTTAATGGGGCTCACGGGCACTTCCTCCAGGGGCTTCACATAGGCCTCGGGGAACCAGCCGCTCCTGAGGGGTGCAGGCAGAGGGGCCCATAAACAAAAGGCCCAGAGACAGCAGTCACAGTCCCACTCCCGAGAGTAGTTCCGGAGCCGTGCTGTGTGCCAGGCCTGGCTCGGAGGGCTTTGCCCAGACTAACTCATTTAATCCCTTGAGATCTTTCTCGACATGCAAGTCCATCCACCCAGCCTCATATCCTGCCAGGGGCTGGATCGCCTCAGGAGACACTGCAAGTCCAAGGAGGAAAGCAATGCGTCCAAGGACACGCGGCAACCCGCTTCGTTCCCTGCTCGCGGAGCACCCACCCCGTGAGGCCCACAGAGAGCCGGACACAGCTCCTCCACCCCAGAGGCACCCAGCCCAGTGGACAGACAGATGTGCAAACGGATGATGACAAGGGTGACTGGGAAGGGGACAGGGCAGGGGCTGAGGACCACAGGAGAATGTACGAGCCCAGAGGAAGGCCTGAGCCTGAGGCGCCTGACTGCCAGCCCCGTGCCCTTCCGTGCTCTGCCCCCACTGCTGCTCTTGGAGTCTTTCTCTGGCTGGAGGCTCATTACTGCACCTCTAGAGAGGCTGGGGCTGTGGGAGAGGCACTTTGATCAATGTTGCTCAGCTTTTTCAGACCCCTGGGACCCCTCAGGTTCTTGCAGAGCCCTTGGGAAAGTGCTCTCCCAAAAGCCCCCTGAGACCCCAAAACGCAATCAACAACGTTCTCACCTAAAGGTAACTGGAAGCAATTTCCACTCAAACTGACGGAATAAAACCATTTCCTTATGTTTTACCTCTGCTCTCACTATAAAGGGCCTACTGACAAAATCTGCCGTCTCCTTCCCCGCCCAGCGAGGCACAGACAGAACAGCCATGTGACCGGGTGAGAGCGCGGGTCTGGGTGGTTTCACAGTTGGGTCCGGGGAAGTCCACTCCACGCCACTTGTGGGGAATTTCAGGGCAGCCTCTACCTTTGTGGGTCCACAAAGCAGGGATTTCGAGTCCTTGTGTTTGTAGCCATCTCTCCCCGCCAGCCCATGCTTCCGTATTGGTCCCTGCCATCCTCCCTCTATCCACGCCTCACCCATCCACGACCCTGTGGGCAACCACCCATGGCCCACTAGTCCCCAAACCCATCAGCTTGTCTACCTGGCTGCCCCCTACCAATTCGCGCACATACCTTTCCAGTCACCCCTCAGTCTGTGCACCCCAGCTCCATGCTTCCACCCTGCCCCAACTGCTCGGCTCATCCCTGCCTACCGACCCGCATCCACCTGCCCACAGAACCAACTCCTGGGCCGCCTTCCGCCTACCCGCTGCCCGCAGCCCCACACCACACTCCTCAACCCTCTGCCCGTCCCCCGTCCACTGACCCACACCACCACCCTTGCGATCACCTTCACGGGCACCTGCTGACTCCTCCTTCTAAGCCCTCATTCACCCCTTATCATACCCCGCAGCATGAATGGCAGCGGGCTCCACGCAGTCTCCTGCCCATAAGGCCCATGGGGGTCACTGCCTGGCTCCAGCAAGCTCCCACCGCCCCCTTTTTCTTTGGCAGAAGAGTTATCCTTGCACACTCTTTCTTGGCTTTCAACCCCTGCCTTCTGCCAACCTTGCAGTGACCACAGCGTACTTCCCCACCTCACACCTCCCCTCCTGGTGTCAAAACCAAGCCCAGTTTGCAATCTTGAAGGTTCTTCCCTGCCCCTGACTGCAACTCAGCCTCCGAGCTCCCAGCCTGGCCTCTGGCTCTGGCCTGGAGGAGTGCCTCCAAGTCCACCATCTCCATCAGACCTCCAGGGACTCTCAGGGTCCCGGCAGGAAGCTGCTTCTCCCTCCACGTGGGGCACACAGTAAGCGCCCAAGCAGTGGGGCTCCTGCAGTGTTCGGACAAGTGAGAGAACCTTCCCATTCCTCCCAAGGGCCTGTCCTCTTCCTATCCAGGCTGGCTGGATGAGGACACGGTCTGGGGTGGGGTGGGGGAAAGGGGAGAATTGTCTGGGTCCCGGGAGTGGAGGTGGCGGACCAAGGGGGACAAGTCACCATCGGGGCAGGGGAGCCCAGACCTCCGGGCGGGCCCCCTTCCACACACCCCCGCCCCTGCACCCTGGGGGTCCCACTCACGCGGAGGAGCCCTCCAGCTTGCCGTAGAGCCAGCCGTTCTGGGCCTCTGGCACAAGCACCTCCACGACATCTCCCGCCGAGAAGCGCAGCAGCGTGTGGTTGGCGCCCTCCGAGTGCGAGACGAGGGCGCGGACCCTCCGGGCGCCCCTGCCCCCGCCGCCCGGGCGCTCGCCGAAGGAGTTGGAGCGGGAGCGCTGGGTGCCGCTGGCGTAGAGCGAGGCTGCGGGGTGGGGAGGGGGAGCACAGTGGGTGGGCGCTCCGCCCCCGTGGCCCCCCTCCGTCCCCTCTTGCTGCAGCGCCACCTCCGTGCCTCCTCCCGGGCCCCGGGTCCCCGGCCCTCCCTCTCCGCTCCGGGGCCACTCACAGGCGGACGGCGTCCGGGGCAGCGACCGGCGATCGGGCTCCAGCTGCGACGCGGACCTCGCCTCGACGGGCTCGGGGCCGTAGGAGCCAGAGCCGTGCCGGCTGCGGGGGGAGCTGAACTCCGCCAGGGGCCTCGGGGGCTGCGAGGGGAGACGGGCAGGGGAGGGTGGGGCAGGGAGGGGGGCGCCGCGGCGGCGCCCTAGTCCAGCCCCCACCCCCAGTCCCGGACATCGGCGGCGTAGGGATTCTCGGGCCGGCTGCCCAACCACCACGGGGGCGCCCAGATCGCGCCGGGGCTGAAGGCCGGGCCCCGGGGCGCCGCGTAGACCGGGAACCTGGGGGGCAGGAGGCTCCAGGCGGAGGGTGGCAGGCCCCAGGGCGCCGCGGAGGGTGCGGGGACCGGCGGGGGCGCGAACGGCGGCGGGGGCGCCCAGGGCCTCACCATGTCCAGGCGGGTGGGCGTCAGGCGGCCCGAGGGGTAGGGCGGCCCCAGCACGGGGCCCAGCAGGCCCGGGGAGTGGGCGCGCGACGGGCTGCGACTGGCCTCCGACTGCTCCTTCCACAGAAGCACGCGGTTCTGGAGCACGCCCCGGGCCTGGCCGCGTGGGGACACAGGCGTCAGCCGGCTCCCAGCAGCCCCCAAAGTCCTGGGGCCCCAGAAGCGGCATCCTAGACCTGGGAACTCGGGCGCCCCCATAATAGAGGATAACTGGATTTTCCAGCTGGAAGGAGCTAGAGATCGCTTTGGTGTCACTTGGGACTCGCTCACCGTCTAACCCTCTCCCTCTTTTGTCGAAGGCCCCTCAGTTTTCCTTGAGGTGTTTTCCTTGAGGTGCTTCTCCAGCCCCTTCTCTCTGTCTGTTTTGGCCGGGCTCTACCACTGCCTGGTACATCGGCAGGCTTAGAACCCCAGCCTGGCCACTGTGATGGACTCAGGGATGGCACTTGCCCAGAAACCGTGACCAAAGAATCCAATTCCAGTACTTATCCTGGGACAATTGGGAAAAATATTTTCTTGGACTTCATGGGCTTTGCTAAAAATAGAGTGAAGCCAACATAGGAAGCTACAACTAAGAAAAGATGGCAAATTTCCAAAGACCTGAGCTCCTGGATCCAGCTATACCTGAAACCTTTGAACTTTGTAGTAACTCAAGTGGTAAGTACCTTTGCTGCGAAAGCCGGTTTGAGTCATTTCCTGGAAGAGGCCTTTCAAATACAGTTTTCCCAGTCTATTCCTTTTAGCCTACATAAGCGTCCCTAATGTCCCTGGTACATGGGCATCTAACTTTGTTTGAATACTTTCAAGGACGGGAAACTCAGCTGTTGACCAGACAGTCCATAACAACTTGGGGCTGGGAGGGCTTTAAATGTCAGACCAGCTACATACATGAATCATGTTTTTAAGTTTCTGTATTTGATGATGTTTTGACATCCTGAGCCTTTAGCAATCCTGCAGGCATTGTCCCTCCCAGGGCTAGATAATTCCAAGAGATAGTAAGTGAGTTGTTCCTGTGACAGCACCTTTCCATGATTCCTCTCTTCTGTCTGGCCCAGCTGGTAAAAATCTCACAGGGATCTCAGGCAGCAAAACAGAAGCCACTCACATCACAGGAGCAACTAGTCCCATTGGTCATTAGTCGGACACCCCCTTGGTTGCCTTGCTTAACTAATGAACAAAACAGCACAAAGCCAAAACTCCAAAGGTCTTTGTGTGCTGGCCACAAAAGCAGTATGCAAAGCAACATTAGGTATTGCATACCATATTTTTAAAAGGGTTTTTGTCCAGTTTTTTCCAGTAGAAAGCACCTGCCAGGGTCCTAGGGTGTTCTGGGAGTAAAGGCCACAGCACCAAGCCCCAGCCTGGACAGCATCCAACTTCCCTGTCTTCCCTCGGCCCTGCCTCCAGGGGGTTTCGCCTGTCGTTGGGAAGAAACACTGTGCAGGCTTTCAAAACCACAAGGAGACCACGGGAGAAGTTTTAAAAACATTTATGGAGCAGAAGAGTCATTCTAAGTACGCTACAGACCCCATAGTCTAGAAAAGACCGATAAATTTGACTAATTAAAAAAATTTTTTCAACACGGCAAAACCTACAGTAAGCAACGTCAATTGATAAATGACAAATGGAAAATATTTGCAACTCATCACCAAGAAAGGGGTAATTTCAGTAACATATAAAGAGCTCTTAGAAATGAATAAGAAAAAATGGAGGAAAAGAAGATGATATGTCCTAGTAAAGGACATCCAATGGCTTGGAACCATGAAAAGATCTGTCTCGCTTATAAGAAAAGTATAAAATAAAACCACACGGAGATGCCAGTTTTACCTTGCTGATTAGCAAAGATTGAAAAGTTTGCTTTCACACTGTTGTCAAGGAGAAGGGAATCTTCTACATGGCCGACTGAAGGGTAAACTGGGACAACCAATGCCTAAATTCTTGGAGTTGCCAATTCTGTTCCTAGGAATTTATCCTGAAGCTAGACTTGCACAAGTCCAATAAACCTGGAGAAGCTGAAGGCGAGGTGGGCAGAGGTATGTTATTGACAAGACGTGGACTCAGCCAGGACTGGGTATGAGAGGCATGTGAGAGTGACTCCTTGCTGAGCCCAGCCCTCATCCTTCTTTAAATCTTGCTCCAAATCTTGTGCATTCTCTTTATAGATAAAGTGATGGGTAAATATTTATGCTTGACTATCTTAGGAGTTCAATCTTGAGTGTCCTAAAGTCCAGCTGGGTCAGTCAACACAATAGCTGTTCCACCCACTGCCTCATACCTAGGGGAAGCCTAGCTCATTCAATCCACAGCCCTCTCCAGAGGGGCGATCACTTAGCAGGAGACAGCCCGGGGAGAAGTCAACACTCCTCTTACTATTGGAGGTTAACTGTCCAGGACACAAGCAGAAAGGAGCGTCCCCCCAAAGAAGGTACTTAAACAGCCAGGAAGTACCGGAAAATATATTCAGCATCATGAGCCATCAGGGAAATGCAAATCAAAACCATAATAAGATACCACTTGACATCCACTAGCATGGCTAGAATCAAGAAGACCGACAATAACAGGTGTTGGCAAGGATGCGGAGCCACTGGAAAGCTCCCAGCTGCCAGTGGGGCCGTGAAATGGTGCAGCCACTTTGGAAAGCCGTCTGGAAATTCCTTAAACAGTTAAACACAGAGCTACCCGATTCTCAGCAAGCCGACTCCCCTATAGCCATGAGGAATGAAAACATGTCCACACAGAAACTTCTACATCTATCTACTGTAGCATTATTTATAACAGGCGCAAAGTAGAAACAACCCAGATGTCCATCCACCAATGAAGGGATGATTAAAATGAGATGTCTCCAGACGACAGTATAGCATCTGGCAGCAATGAGGAACAAAGGACGGATATATGCCCCAACACTGAGGAATCTCGCTCCCGGCAATGCGTCGTGGGAGAAGCCCGTCACAAAGGACCACACACTGTATGATTCCATTCATATGAAATGCCCAGAAGAGGGACATCTCCAGAGATAGAATGTAGATCGTGGTGGCCTGGACTGGAGTGGGGGTTGTGGGGGGACGGGGGAGGGTTGGGGAATGATCATTAAGGGGTGCTGGGGTGTTTAGGGGGAATGCAAGTGTTCTAAACTTGATTGTAGTGATGGGTGCCCAAGTCTGTGAATACACGAGGCTCCACTCAGTTGTACACTTTACATGGATGGACTGGATGTCCTGTGAATTACACAGCAGCACAACTGTTTCAAAGAAGTTGTGGCTGTGGTGGGGACAGCGGGAGGATGTCAGCCGGAGCCGAGATCATATGAATGGAATCATACAATGTGTGGGGGGGTGTGTGGAAAGAGCTCAAATTGCAGAACAAGGACAAATGAAACAGACGTGGCGAGGGAGGAGGTCATAGATGTGGAGTTCTAGAAGAAGGAATGACGGCAGAGAGAATAGTTAAAGAAACAGAAGAGAAAACAGCTCCCTGACCTGAAGAAAGACCTGAGCCCGCAGAGTGGGGAACACCCGAAGGCACTCATGTAGGGGACACCCAGACAAATTCCCGAGTCCCCAGGACCCCAAGAAAATCTCCAAGCATCCAGAGAAAGAGGCAGTAACTTAAGACGGAAACAAGACAGACACACGCACAACATAGAGCACCAGAAAATGGGAAATGTCCTCTTGGACCCCAGGAGAAAAAGCCCACAGCTCTGGAGCCCTTCAACCAGCCGACATGCCGCTCAGCACTCGGGGTCAAAGTGAGACTTGCACGTATGTGTGGGTTCGGGGGGCACGTCTGCAGAAAACATTCAGTTCATCAAGACAGAAACCTCAAGACAGCGGGAAAGGAAGAGTGAAAATGGTGGTATCAGCATGTCTGATCACCTGGTTGTTAACTGTCAGTGCAAGTGGCTGTGCACCAAGCCTTGGGACTATACATGGTCTAAGTGCAGTTTCTCGAGATAGAAGGATCACGCTGCAAAGGAGGGACTCATGAGAGTCTAGACCTGAAAGTCTTGAAGTTTCTTGGCAAAACCAAGAGCTGGGGGTCAGGAAGGATAAGGGGAGGAGTAAGGCCACGTATTAGAGTGCCATGGAGGGCAGGAAAATCCTTCCCCAGGCCTCATCTTAAGAGGTAGGGGACCACCATGGACAGAGTAGCACCGGGGGGTGTCAATATATTTTAGAAAACACAAGAGATGAATTGATGTTACCATGAGGGTCACGAGGTGAGGTCATCACGAAGAGAGATTAAAAGACAGTAGGAGGGGCACCTGGGTAGCTCAGTGGGTTAAAGCCTCTGCCTTCAGCTCAGGTCATGATCCCAGGATCCCGGGATCTGAGCCCCACGTCGGGCTCTCTGCTCCGCAGGGAGCCTGCTTCCTCCCCTCTCTCTCTCTGCCTCTCTGCCTACTTGTGATCTCTGTCTGTCAAATAAATAAATAAAATTTGAAAAGTGTTCACAGAAGAGAAAGGAGGGTAATTTTAATCTCAGACAAAGTGAAATGAAAAGCATCAGGCTGGGTTATGAGATGTTAAATACATAAGTGGTGACATTTACAGAGAAGGTATGATAGTTGTAAACCCAACAGCCCTGAACACCATGGTAGTTAAATACAGAAAGCAAAAGCCACTGGAAAGCCAACAGGAAATGAGTGAATCCGATGGGTGTAGCAGATGGAACAGAGCAATAGCACAGAGGATGTAAACAATAAGATAAAAGCAAAAAGGCCATAACTAGATCCATGAATTGATGAATTTGCAAATGGTGAGTCTATGCAAGCAGGAATGAAAAAATAAATGGTTCGCACATGAGTGAATAAAGGTATGAATTAGTGAATGAATGTGAGAATAAAAATAAAATAAAAATCATGAAGGAAGAAATGAAGGAATTTGTATCTGATGATACAGATAAACACGGAAACAACCAAAGAGTTAGGGAGAGTAAACAATGAATACCCACAGAAAGGATACATAGAAGGAAATGAGTAAAGGGAGGGAAGTCCCTGCGGGCAGCCAGCTCCCAGAGAGCCCAGGCCCTAGGACGGCTGCACCAGCTGTCCCCCAGCCCCAGCTCACCCGGCCAAAAAACTGCAAGAAGGTGTTGGAAAGCAGCAGGTGCTTCTCGGCCAGGAAACGATAGCGCCGCTTCTCTTCCAGTTCAGCTGCCCGCTGACTCTCAGACACGAAGGCTTGCATCTGTGCGTGTAGCCGGTTCACACTCTCCTGTGGGAGAAGTGGGTTCGGGCTGGGGGCAGCGAGTGGATGCCTCAGCCCACCCTCCACGAGTACCAGCCGTCTGAAGCCTCCTGTCCTTCCTGAACCAGCCGTCTCTCCTCCCAGGAGCACCCAGCTCATCGGAGCTCCCAGGCCCACCTCTCACGGGCATCGTCATCCTCCAGACCCTGAGCTCTGTGTCTGCCCAGCCGGGCCCTTCTCACAGGCAGGGCTGGTGTCTGAGCCGTCCCTCTGCCCCCAGCCCACAAGCGCAGAGAGGGGCCCAGGGAGGTAGTTTAAGGAAATGGGAACAAGTTGATCGAAGTCCCTACTTGGGAGGGTAGATTCTGAAGAGGAGGGATAAGAGCTTAGTAAAGGAGATAGAAGTCTTGAAGACCAAGGCCAGGGATGGGGCCCTGAGCTTGGGAGGAGGACTGGCCCTCGCCAGGGGGGCAGGAGGGAGCAGAGGATGGTGTGGCTGCTGGGGAGTTACACCTTGGCTACTGAGATCAGGAGCAGCATAGCTGATGGCCTTAGGTTTTCTCCAAGAAGTAGGAGAGCCGGGCAGTGACCATGCAAGGATCAGCGCCGAGGTGGGCCTGAGGGCTGGGGGTGCCCACCCACCTGGGGCCGGCTGACCTCCCTCGCTATGCTCACCACAGAGCATGGGGTAGGAGGCCCTCCTAGAGTTGGGCCGGCGCTGGGCGGGGGAGCTCAGGACGTTGTCAAGGGGTCCCCCCAGAGCCTGGCTTTCCCCCCAGCCCTTGCACCTTCATCTCCCGCACATTCTTGTCCCTCTTGCGTTCCATGCGCCACAGCTCGGACATGCACTTCTCCAGGTGGGTGGCTCGGTGGTGGTACTCCCTCTCATAGTGCTGGCGGCTGTCCTTGGGGAGGGTGGAGAGAGGAGGGAGACCCCCATGTCAAAGAGCTCAAGACTCCGGGTCCACTGGTCAGAACACTGGACAGGGTCCCGGGGAGCTCAGCTGGAAACACAAACAGCCTGGCGCTAGTCAATGCCCAGCGCAGGGCTCGGTGTGCTCATCCACCAAATGGGGAGAGGCTGTCTTGCCTGTGATGGGCTGGGGGGTCAAGGTGGGTGGCCATACTTACTTTGATGAACTGCATGTCCAGCTTGGTATTCTTCTCCATGTGCTGTAGCAGATCTCCGTGGAATGTCTGCACCTGTGTGGAGTGCAGGGTGGGGGTGATCAGGGTGGTCCTAATCATTCCCAGGCCTCGGCATCCCTCGCACTGCCCAGTTCAATACAGCCCACTGTGTTCCTAACACACCAGGCACCTGCCCAATTGTCGGAGAAAATGGACATGAGACAAGGACCCGGTTGGAGGGAAGATTAAATGGTTTGATATGCAAACAGGTCGTGCAGTAGACGGCTGGCCACACACCCTCCATAAATGTATTAGAGTCTTCTGGGTCTTAGTCCCAGTCTGTGCTTTGATGATGCCATTCCTGCCGCCTAGAATTTCCTACCAGACTTCAAATACCAGCTTCTGTGCCCCCTCTACAGGAAGTCTCCCTGACTTCGCCAGCAGAATCCACTGTGCTCCCATTTTGATTCTGGAATGTATATATCTTTGTTTGTTTAATTTTCATTCCTCTAGCCACAGGACAGAATCTCTTGCTGGGCCCCTGGTCATAGCCTCTCAAGCTGCTATGGACATGAACCTCATCTGACCATTCTCTGTGTCCCCAGCACCGTGGGCAGGGCCTGACCCAGTGAAAGTGCTCACAGCTACTGAGGTCTTAGCTGAGGGTTGGTTGGTTTCCATGATAGGTGAGACGGAGGAGGCTGACCATTTGGGTGACCAGAAAGCCGGGGAAGGCTACTGGACTCAGGTTCAGAAGAGCTATGTCCTCGGAATTCTGGTTCTGCCTCCAACTTGCTCTATAACTTTGGACAAGTTGCTGCCCCCTGTCTGGGCCTCAGTTTCCCCATCTGTAACAGGAAGGTCTTGGCTAGATGCTCTTGAAGGTCCAGCCTTTTAAGCCCAAAGAGCTTTGATTCTGTGAGCCTTGGTGTTTCCCCTAAACCTCCCCCCATCAGCATTCCTTGGGTCACTGTGTGTTGTGGGGACATCAGATCTAAACCCTTCGGCTGCACGCTTTGCTCTTGGGTTCACAGGGAGCAGAAAGGAGTGTCCCCCATCCTGCAGGGGACCTCTGCTCCTCCTCCTTTGTCTGCACCCTCTTTGCCCTCCCCCACAGAACCCGCAGGGGATGCTGCCAGGTTTGCTGCTGCAGGGGTCCCCAGGCTGTGCTGGAGGCACGGGTTCTGTGCCTTGGGGGTACAGAGTTGCCCAGAAAAGGAATGCCGGTAATCTTCTTCCAGTATTCAGAGAAAACCAATCAATTATAAAAGTTGCCAATTTTACATTTTTCTCCTGCAATTGTTTCGGAAACCCTGGTAACTGCTGGTCTGTAGGGGAGCTTGCTTGTGGCCCCCTCAGGACTGGCCATGCCTTGAACCCCAAGCCATGGCTGCTAGTGTGTGTGTGTGTGTGTGTGTGTGTGTGTAAGGGGGTCGGTGTTAGGAACAGTGCCAAGACTCCATATCTGCCCTTGTCTACTGGATCCTGCACCTGCGGGAGCTCCCAGGGCGGCCCCCAGGGCACCTCACTTGCCCCTCCTCTGGCCCTGCTTCCCACTGAAAAGGCAGTCCAAGGTTTCTGCTTGAAAACCAAACATGCGTTCTTGAAAATCCCCGTATCCTACAAAATTGCCCAAAACCAACAACAGGGCTTATGGGAGATACAGGGTTGGAGGCGACCCGCAAAAGCCAGGCAACTTTGTGACCAGAGCACTCATAAAGATGCTGAGTGGTACCTGGAGACAAACTTGAACCACACCGAAGGCTACGGAAAATATCTAAAATGCACAAAACCCACAGAACGGATGCACCAACTCCACCTGGGTTCCTGGAGAGCCGGTGTGCTGAGACAATGCGGGAGGGACATGGGGCTGTCACAAAGGTGGGCAAGGGAGGTAGTACAGCCTGACCCCAGCTGAGAGCCCTGGGCGGCTAGGAGCGCTCTTCCCAGGGAGGCCTGGGAGCACGAGCTCTTTTAAAATGTTCTTAAGGGGCACCTGGCTGTCTCAGTCCTTAAGCGTCTGCCTTTGGCTTGGGTCGTGATCCAGCGGTCCTGGGATCCAGCCCCGTACTAGGCTCCCTGTTCAGCGGGGAGCCTGCTTCTCCATCTCCTACTCCCCCTGCTTGTATTCCCTCTCACTCTCTCTCTCTCCTGCTAAATAAATAAATAAAATCTCTTTTTTAAAAAGTTCTTAAAATACAGGTTAAAGGTCTCATGCTATCAATGCAGCAGACAGGCTGGGGACTTTTCCCTTCTTCCTAATTCTGGTTGCCCTATCCATCCCACTCTCACCTAGGAGACCTGGCTTATGAGCAAGCCACCTTCCATGTCTCAGATGTCACTCCTTTTGCTTCCAGTCGGGTATGAACTGAGTCACCCCATAGATGTGTGTGTTAGAATGAGACTGCTGGGTTGTAATCCTTCCCATTGCTATGGCTTGGCTACGATCACCAATTAGATGGGACCCAGGCAATACTGGGTCAATGGAAAGTCTTCATTAACTTCCAGAAGAATATCTATTAAGGGGTTGGCAATTTATGTGAACTTGAGCTCTTGCTTTGGGCGAACCATAGGACTATCTATTAACAGGTGGCTTCTGAAACAAGGAAGTCATCAACCCCAGGCAGACTGAGGAATTCCCAGCAGGTCAGAACAGAGACTGTCCTCCTCTGCACCCCCTCTCCCAGCATATACTTCATTAGCAGGTCCTGTGAGTCCCTCAGTACAGAAGCTGAGAGCAGACCCAGACCCACTGTGGAAAACACGCACTGTAAGCTCTATGTTTTGAGTTATTCCAGTAACTTGCAAGAAATCCTTTTGCCACCTATATAGGAAACTCCCCCCAACCCCCACCCCAGAAGAATTGTCCCTGTGAGCTGACCCGACTCCTGTCTTCCAGTTTACTCTTGAAACCCTCCGGTCAGGCTGTGCCCCACCACTCCAATTAGAAAGTTCTCGTTGAAATCACTGACACTCCACATCACAAAGTCAACTCACAGGACTCCTCTGACAAGTCCTGTGGTCATCATTTGGCACAGTTGAACATTCCCTCCCCCTGAAACACCTTCCTCCCTTGGCTTCCAGCCTACCACCCTCTCCTGGTTTTCCTTGCACTCCCCCTCCCCCATCCACCCCACCTCTTCTCTGTCATTTGCCGATTCTCCCTGACCTCTTGATCCCCCACAGCCTCTTTCTTTCCCCTCCTACACCCACTCCCTCCATGAGCTCATCCATCCATATGCTCCCAGATAAACAACTCCCAGACAAACAACCCAGCCTAGACCTTGACCCCAAACTCCAGCCTCATGTACATGCAACTGATACTTACCTCTCCAGATGGTTTTCTTTTTTTTAAAAAAAGATTTTATTTATTTATTTGACAGAGAGAGATCACATGCAGGCAGAGAGAGAGGAGGAAGCAGGCCCCCTGCTGAGCAGAGAGCCCAATGCGGGGCTCAATCCCAGGACTTTGAGATCATGACCTGAGCCAAAGGCAGCGGCTTAACCCACTGAGCCACCCAGGTGCCCCTCCAGATGGTTTTCTAATAAGCCTCTCAAACTGACCATGTCTAAAACTAAATCCCTGATCTCTCCCCTCCACCCAAACCGTTCCACACTTAGTATTTCCCACCTCAGATAAAGGCAACTACACCTTTCCAGTTGATCAGGACAATATGCTGGAGTTAGTTTGACTTTCCCTTTTCTTTTGCAACTGACATCCACTCCATCAGAAAATCTTACTGGCTTTACATTCAGTCTGATTTCTTCTCAACACTACCACTGCTGCCACTTTCCCAAGCCATCTCAACCCTTCCTCTAAATTGGTCTTCCTGCTTCTGCTTTTGCCCTCCACTGCTGATATTATATTATTAGTACAGAAGCCAGAGAGACAGGTGAAACAATGAACAACTGGAGAATGAAATGTAAAATTTCCAATTATAATAGCTAAAAAAAGCCATATTATCTAGGTACAAATCCATCAAAAGATATGAAAGACTGCTACCCTGAAAATGACAAGGTGTTCCTATGAGAAACGAATAAATGGAGAGGTATACCATGTTCATGGATCAGAAGACTCAATATTGTTAAGATGACCGTGAATTTATACTTTTTTTTGAAGTAGGCTCCACTCCTAATGTGGGGCTTAAACTCATGACCCTGAAATCGAGAGATGCATGCTCTATGCTCAGCCAGGTGCCCCTATGATGGCCATTAAATCATAGATTAATGCAATCCCTGTCAAAATTCCAGCAGGTTTTCTTAAAGGAATTGACAAACTGATTCTAAATATGAAAATGCAAAGGATCTTGACTATGCAAAACAATTTTGAGAAAGATGAACAAAATTCTTAGACTAGCTGATTGTTTTTAAAGATTTTATTTATTTAATTGTCAGAGAGTGAGAGAGTGAGTGCACAAGCAAGGAGAAAAACAGGCAGAGGGAGAAACAGTCTTCCTGCTGAGCAAGGAGCCCAATGGGGGACTTGAACCCAGGACCCTGGGATCATGACCTGAGCAGAAGGCAAATGCTCAACCCCTAGTCAAACACTCCTAGACTATTTGATTTTAAGACTCACTATAAAGCAACAGCAATTAATACAGTTGTGGTATTGGTGTAAGAATAGACAAATATATCAATGGAACAGGGTAGAGAGCTCAGAAATAGATCCACACATAAAACAACAAATCAAATTTTGACAAAGACATCAAGTCAGTTCAATGGGGAAAGCGAAGTTTTTTTGAAGTGGTGCTGGAACAACTGAATGTCTATACGGGGGGAAAGAACCCCTGATTCTACCTCACTTCATACACAAAAGCAAATTTAAGACAGATCATAGAAATAAATGTAAAGTCCAGAACTTAGAGCTTCTATAAGAAAATTTAGAGTATTGGGGCGCCTGGGTGGCTCAGTGGGTTAAGCCACTGCCTTCGGCTCAGGTCATGATCTCAGGGTCCTGGGATCGAGTCCTGCATCGGGCTCTCTGCTCAGCAGGGAGCCTGCTTCCTCCTCTCTCTCTGCCTGCCTCTCTGCCTGCTTGTGATCTCTGTCAAATAAATAAATAAAATCTTAAAAAA